GTACACAATGTGCTACACTTAGTATACCTAGAAAATTCATATAACACATATTCCACACCATAGCTGAAATGCCCCTCTTATTATAAGCATATTTTAGAAACGGTCACACTGAAAAAGTGGCACGGAAGTTGCGCTAATCGAATTTAAATAAGTTTACTTTGTAAACATTTCATGCTTTTGTTGCCTTTGTTACTTGGAACAAGTCAATCAGAAATGCGGCTGCCCAGGCAAGTGTGGGAGCAAAAATATTAACTTTTGACAGCTTTTACCTAGCCCTCTCTCTGCCGTTTCACACAAGTTGTTGATAGGGCTTGGAGGTTCCGGGTTGCGGGCTGGGGCTGGTGCTGGGTCTGTGTGCGCTTCGCGCATATTAATCATTGTGAGCGGCAATTTTTTTTTCGCCAAGGCTATAAAAAACATACTTGCAATTTCTTTGCCTTTTAATGGGGCCTTTTCCATATAATAAAACTATTTCAAGGTCAACATCGCACTGACAGCTGGCCTGGAATTAAATGTAACGGCAAATTTTTAATTTGCGCAATTAAGCAGCACAGATATATTTCTCACTAACTGCAAACGGTCACACTGGCATTCAGTAGCGCCCATAATTGTGCTTTAATAATTTTTACTGCTTGTTTATATATTTTTGTTCGTATCAAGCTTACTCGCAATGACAATTAATTATTATAAAATATAAAAAAATTCATCAAAACATAATGAGTTTTTTTAATAAGCCCAATTTATATTCATGGTCACGGGTAGATTAACACTTATGCTGATTAAACAATAAAAAGAATGCTGCTTACAGCTTACCCTAATTAAAAATGTGTCAATGAATTTAAATATTTTACAATTAATGCTCGTAGCATTTGCAATTCAATATAAAAACACAATTTTCGATGGAATGACATCTGCAATTATTGTCTTTCCTGCGCGGCCAGTTCGATTCGCTCTTAAGCAAAAGTAGTAGGTGTCATTTCAGTTCACACACGGCGAAGAACGCATAATAAAGCGAAAGCCAAGTAAAGCCGACGCCATTAAGCAATATCGTAGAATAAGTATGCGCAAAGTTAATAGCTCAATCGAAAGCAAAACGACAAAAAAAAAGTAAGCACAATAAAATGCAAATATTTATGCGCTGCGATAAACAATAATGCGCATTAAGTGAATTATTAATGAACATGTCTGTTGTGCGCTCGTTACGTTGTTTAATTTACTCACTTCCACAGAATAGCTTAAGTAATTTTCATTTGAGATCTTCTTCAATGCCAAAACCAACACTTCGTGGAACATCAGCTATAATTTGTGTCGTTGCTTAACGACCAGTTAAGCAAATGTCATAAGTATTATTTCAGTTTAGGAACAGTGAATAACACGATCGAGGTAAAAGCAAATTGCGATGCCATTAACAAATTTCGCAGAATAAAAACAAAACGAAAAAAAAGTTAATGCAATAAAATGCAAATATTTATCAAGCGCGTTAAGCAAAATGTTAATAAGCTTATCTTTTTCGTCTGTTCCTTACGTAGTTTCATTTTACTTTCAACAGTTTATGTCCGCAGTATACTTTAAATTATTTTCCCTACACAAATTTGACATTATTCGTGATCTTCTACAAACCGAAAGCAACACTTAATGGAATGACACCTACAGTATTTGTCATAGTCAGAAGGCACGTTCAAGCCGCCATATGCAATTCACGCAAGTTAAAATATTAAGTGTCATTCATGGCGAAAGCGAATTGCTTCTTATGTATTTGAAGACGACATTACAAAACCACAAATGTAACGTAAGCGAATTGAGCATAGTTTATTCGCCGCCGTTGAATGAGGATGCAGAAAATTACTCAACCGAAATACGAAATCAAAATAAAACTTTTAAGAATAACGAAAACAATTAAAATGCAAAGGTTTATGTGCTGCAATAAGCAATTAAGTGACGTAATTGAAATATTAATGAGTTTGTCTGCCGTTCGTCTGTTTTTCGGTTACTTCTTTCGATGTCTTCACACTTACTATCCTCATTTCCGCAGCAGATTTTAAATTATTTTTCATTTCACTTGTGCGCTGACCTACATTCCCTCTGCGCATATAATTTGCCAACATCTACATACAAATTTTCATATATAAATATCTCCTGTTTTTGTTGCAGGACTCTCGGATGCGCTGGCCAAGGGCCTGCTCACTGATGAATACATAAATGGAGCACGCATTTTAGCTTTGAACCTAACCAACGGCGCGGTCCAATCGTATGTCTGGTGGGTAAAGGGCGGCCACGACAAGCTAGCTGAGACGCAACGCTACGAGGAAGAGGGCCTGCAAATTGGTAAAAAGCCTGCACACAGTTACCCTTGGTAAGTAGAGGGAGCACAATGAAAGCAAATGAATGGCTTTTCCCTAATTATACGCTATAAGCGTAGAGTTTCCGACTGAACCTAAAAGGGTATAATCAGGTTGGTACACTGTTTGAAATGCTGTAGAAGATAGAATCGATCAAAATCTATGGGGATACTCTTTAGGGAATGGGAATACCTCTTATGTTGCTATACAATTCCTTTAATTTTAATACTAATACTAAAAGGTAAAGAAGGTTTTAAGGATATTTAACAAATTGTCTAGTTTTTACAGAGTATGCTCCTAGTCAAACACGTTTTTCTTCTATATGTGTCAGGTTTGATGATGAGACCAGCACGCCCACATTGCGCTCACCGAAGTTTGCGCCGAGTCCGCCGAACAACTACTACAAGGGCTGGTGGACCTATCCCTACTTCTCGTGCGCCCTGAGTCGTTGGCTCGTCTCGTACAGCATTGCGATACCGCCGAGTGGGCGGCACGGCCTGCGTGGCTTCATCAGCGTCGACATTGATGTGAGCATGCTGCGTGTCAATCAGTGCGATGCATTGCCATATCGCTTCGCCAGCAGCAGCAGCAGCAGTCAGCAACAGTTGCTGCGACAGCCGACAGTGCGCCGGACGACAGCTGCAACAGTTGCTGTCAGCTACGATATGGAGTCCATCAAAGATTTGCAGGCATTCCACAGTTCGCACAAATGCCATCGCGCCTCCATGGTGGTAAGCAGAGGTGCTCCCAACACTGACTAACTGAACTAAAGCTTAATTAACAACCATTTTGCAGTGCGACTATCGCCAGCCCAGCTCAGAGCCGACGACAATAAGCGGCGGCAAGTTGTTGGCGGGCATGATTAGTAGCAGCAGCAGCAGCAGCTGGTCGCGCGGCTCGTATCAGTGCCTGTGCAAGCGGGGCTACTACTCGCTGCGGCATCCGGATGGCTTCAATGGCACCATCATGGAGATTGCCTGGCAGGAGCATCAGGACAATATAAGCAATTACTATACGGATGTATTCAAGTGTTTGCCATGTGCCCCCGGCTGTGACACCTGCACCGGACCCGAGCCATGCCTGGCCAACTATCATTGGCCTTTCAGGTGAGTTTCCCATGCGCTGCATTTGATTTATAGTGTTTCAGAAATGCTCATATGACTTCAGCTCTAGACTATATATATCCTATATCTATAAATATATATATAACTCAATTCACTATCATTCCACAGAATATCTTTGCTGACTATTTCGATCGGCTGTGCTTGTGGAACTTTTGTGCTGCTGTGCTATCTCTTCCGACATCGGCGGGTCAAAGTCTTTAAGGTGGCCAGTCCTATCTTTCTGATGATCACGCTCATCGGCTGCGCCATTATGTATCTAGAGGTGAGTAGCTAAAAGCGTAAGTGGAATGAGAGAAAGAGGGAGAGAGGGGGAGAGAGTGCGTTACACTCTGCTGGCTACTTAACCCATTAAAAGTCGAGCTACACACAAAGAGCATTACGAATGGATGGCAGGACAAGGCGGGCAAAGGCTGCTAATGTGACAAAGGGTCTCATTTTGGTCTCATTTACAATTGACCCACATGTTGTAAAGCCACATACACCACTTACTGCACCTGCGGCTGAGGCAACATAAAACTCCATTTTATGGCTTTTTAAATGCGGCTTTTAGGAACTCGCCTCTGTTGCCGGCATTTCAGCTTCTGTTATTCTGTTTGTACCTGTGCAAAAGTTAATGAAAACTTTGGCAAAGATTAATTATTTACATCGAGAAGCTTTAAAAGTGTTAGTTTGAAGTGACTTTAATGCTAAAGTTCTGCTGTTAAATATTAACTAAAGATATGTTGGTTATAAAGAGGAATTTTATAAATAGTGAAGAGCTTGTCTTCTTTTTAACATGCAATTTAACAGAGAGGCTATATTAACTTATACGATTCAACGCAACGGGCTTACAGAGCCGTAACGTAACATTTGAAATGTAAGCCTGCCAAGTCAGTTAACATTGCTTATGAAACAGTTTCAATATGTTAACTTAACATAACGTAAAGTATACACATAACTTGAGCTGTTATATAACATGAAGAACAAATGTAGCTAACAGAAGAGCTACATAACAGCGAGTTAACATAGGCTAAACATATGAACATTAAATAGAAAGATAAGAACTAAAACAATTTAAATAATAATTTAATTAAATAAGGTTAAATATAACTTTGCTTGATTAACATAGTAACTGAGTGGATAGCTAACATAGCTTTAACATAGTTCAGAAATGTTGTTTAAAGTTTGTTAATATATTTTTAAAATTTTGAAGCCCATATATACCTAACAAGTATTCCCTTAGATGACTTAACATTTCGGACATTGTATAGCAGTTCTCATACAACCGTATGCTTGCAGAGTATACGGATATTAGCAAGCTACAAATATATGTTTCACGCATTCTTGTATTGTTTACAATGATGCTGTCAACATTAGCCAAACGACAATGGAACTCCCGTCGGACACATAAAGACAAGAGAACAATGGCAAAATCTTGGGAACAACACGAACACAACAAATGGGTTAAAAGGTTGCGTGGATATGCTCGTTGTTATGGCAGCTAGGGGAGCTTTCAAGCGTCTCATTTACTAAATAAAAACGTAACTGATTTTCTAATCAGAGTTTAACTTTTGTATATGTATAAAAAAAACTAAAAAAGCAATAAAACATTAAAGTAATATGAGCGATAGGAAACAAAATTTAAAAGATAGCAAAGGTGCATTCCATGGTAATTATAGCGATAACGAGGACGATGATTCGGATGAGGATGAAGATGAGGATGAGGAAGCCATGCAGGCAGCCCTAAGAGAAATGGTTCTGGTGCCCGATATTGAGCCGAGGCAGAAACATTTACCACGCAGACCTGAAGAACCTCATAACATTGGCAATATAATAGACAAGCTAAAGAAGACTGCTTCACCGGAAACACAGAAGAAATGGCTGAAGTCAGTGGCAGATGTGGGCATTCAATCTGATAGACCCTCCGCGGAAAAGCAAGAAAAGACTGTGGCTAAGAGCAAAAGAAGCGCTCCAGAGCAGAAGCCCAGGAAATCAGAAACTTGGAGTGAGAGAATGAAGAAGGGAACTGAGAAACCCGTGCCGTCGGGCAACTGGACTAATGTCGTATTTAAAAAAGGCACCGAGGTTTCGCGAAAACAAAATGAGGATTGCAAACAACCAAAGTTGCCAGTCTATTTGCAGTTTGAAAGTAAGCCCAAGTTGGAGCCCAGAACACCAGAGAAAGGGTCGAAGTTGGAGCGCATTGAAGCTGCCTCCAAGCCCAAGTCATATTTCCAAATCAGAGAACAAGCCGAAGCGGAAATCGCAGCCATTCCAAATCGAATCAAGGAAGCACTGCCAATTATCGACAGCACAGACAACAAACTGTGCCAAAGCGAATCTACGACAGGTTCCATAAATATACTGACGGGCACATTTCGACGCAGTCTTAACCTAGAGCCCAGTGATAAAGAACCTCCAGGAACAAAAGCATTGCCGGAGAGCAAGAAGACAACGTTCTTTAGTAACCACCCAATATTCGGTCGAACTAAGCCAGATACTGCAGCTGGTGAGAAGTCGACTGCAGAAGCAGCTAGTCAAGACAAGCGCCCATTACAGAAGTCAGCCACTAACTTCTTTGCTAATCTAACATCGTTTAAAAAAACTCGACCAGCGTTCACTGAGGATCCCACTGACTCTATCAATATCACTTCTCCTCAACAGATAGCAGCTGACTCTGCTGATGAATTTCACGATGTGGAGTCTACTCCAGTGCCGAGCACTGTCCTAATAGATGCACAGTCTACTTCAATGCCGATCAATAACTCAATGGAACAGACGCCGAAACAGTTTGATATGCAAGACGCAGAAAACGATACCCAAGAACTGGGGCAGACCGAGGCAGACTGCTGTGGCGTCACTTATAACTTGATTGAAAAGATAGCCACATTGCCTGATTTCTTAAGGCCGTCTGAAGGAGATGCTGAAGGACTGTCCAGTAGCGAAACCAACCCAGAACACCCTTCATTTCAAGAAGAAAAATCTGAATCTACTATGAAAGCTGATCAAGGAAAACCAACAAAATTTGCAGATAAAGCTGTAAGCAATTCAACAGTTCTTATTTGGCCTGAAAGTATGGAGTCAAACCAAAATATCAATCCAATTAGATATAGTGACCCCGATGTCCCAACACAAGCAGCCAGATCAAGCTCCAGTGACCAAATGATCGAAGCCATTGAGCAGCTTCCAACGGCTATGGCTAAGAAGGTCGATACAGCTAGAGCAACAAAATCTCTAAATGCGCTCAGCTCCGCTACTAAACAATTGGAGGAGCCGATTGTTCATTTTATAGCTAATTTTTCGATATATGGTCGAAACAGACCAACACCGATTAAGTACAGTCAAGTAGAACGAGAAACAGTACAGCATGACCCACTGGTAGGTCAAGTGCTTGTGGAGAGAGCTGACAGCAGTTCTATGAATGCCTTGCCGGATGATCCACTGGAGGAGACTCCTGTAACTTCGTCAAATCCTAGTGAGCTTCACATTGATGAATCGAGTGCTGAGATAACTGATAATGCTTTAATCAGGTCAGATGTTATGGTCTCTTCTGCCAAAAATGAGTCAGGCTCCGGCATACGCCAACTTGTACCAGCCATACCCTATAATAAAGCCGCTCATTCCGGCAGTTCCGGCTTTATATCACAGCCAAGAACTTTGTGTGTCGACCAACCGGTTGCAGACAAAATAGCTGTCGAACGGGCTAATCCAACTACTAGCAATTCCTTGGCTGCCAACTTAATTCGCTACTTTTTTCCAATGGAATCCAAGAGCGAAGGCTCGCTGGAGCTGAAAAACGTAGAGCCTGCCCCAATGCAACCGTGTCCCAATGAAGTGATTATAGTACCGCCGCAGCTGCTGAAAGATAAGGATCACAAATCGAGGAACTCGAAGAAGGGTAAAGATAAGGATAATGATAAGAATACGGTTAATGGTGCGGAGTCGACGGCACAGCCCGCTCAACTGGAGCATTCCGAGTCGATGCGCACTTTGACCATAGTCGGACGACACTCGCATATAACAACGACCTATCGGGACCACTGCCATTACGAAAGACACGACCAGGGCGTCGATAAGATAGCCAGACGCAAACTGATTATAGCCAGCGCTCTATGTGTCTCCTTTATGATCTGTGAGATCATTGGCGGCATACTCTCGCGCAGCCTGGCCATAGCCACCGACGCAGCACACCTCCTAACGGATCTAGCGGGCTTTCTTATATCCCTATTTGCATTGTATCTGAGCGCTCGTCCCTCCTCACAGCGCATGAACTTTGGCTGGTATCGTGCGGAGGTGATTGGCGCCATGCTGTCAGTCTACTTCATCTGGGTCATTACGGGCATACTTGTCTATATGGCTGTAGATCGCTTGATCACGGGCAAACACGATGTGGACGCGAAGATCATGCTAATTACCTCCGCATTGGCTATACTTGTCAATGTCATTATGGCCCTGCAGTTGGGCCATGGTCATTCGCACGGACTTGGGAAATCGCATGGGCATTCACACAGGCAGCCGCGCGTGAGTGCTAACCAGTCCAAGATAGCCAACAATGCGACCTCCATGACGAACATTGTTAGTCCCGCTTTCAAGGAGCAGCAGCAGTTGATGCCAGTTTCCGTGTCTGCCCAATATGTTGGAAACAATGAGAATATCAATGTGAGAGCCGCCTATATTCATGTCGTCGGCGACATGATTCAAAGCTTCGGCGTCTTTCTGGCCGCATTAATTATCTTCTTCAAGCCGGAATGGGCATTTGTTGACTCCATTTGCACATTCATCTTCTCGGTGATTGTCCTTCTCGTTACCTTTCGCATTTTAAGGGATGTGCTGATGGTCCTCATGGAGGCGACACCCGATTATATGGACTATGGCGAAGTCCAGCGCACATTTCTCAGCATCGAAGGCGTTGAACATGTTCACAATTTACGCATCTGGGCATTGAGCATCAATAAGATAGCACTCTCGGCTCATTTGGCTATACGCAAGGATGCCGATCCCCAGATTATACTCGAGATGGCGACCACATTGATACACAAACGTTACAACTTCTTCGAGACAACCATACAGATCGAAGAGTATACTCCGGGCATGGAGGACTGCAATCAGTGTATGACCCCTCTGACGAAGGCATCCAACAACGACGATGCTAAGATCCCGGATGACAAACGCGAAGATGAGGATATCCCGGCAACGAAAGATGAAGAGCAACAAACGACAAAAAAGAAACGTGTACAAACTTCTTTCAGTTGAAATTTAATTTGTATTTAGCTCGGCTTTGAGTTGAAAAGAAATTTCTAATAAAGTCTGGGTCGCTATTAATTCAAGATTCGATTATAAATGATATAAAAAAATATGAAAGGTCTTAAGTCTTAAGCCTCTTTACTCTATATAGAAAACATCACGTTGTCAATATGCTTACACTCTTTATAGATGGTCGCTATATTTCCCTATCTGGACACCACCTGGTGCATTGCCACCAAATGGACGCGTCACATGGGTTTCTGTATTACCTATACCTCACTGCTCATGAAGACCTGGCGGTAAGTCAAGTCTAGGAGTCTCTGCTCTCTCACTCTCTATCAATATGATGCCTTCTCTCTCAGTGTCTCTTTGACATATCGAGTCAAGTCGGCGCATAAGATAAAGCTCAACGACCAGCAGCTGCTGCAGTGGATGGTTCCCATCTTGCTCGTAATGCTCATCTATTTGGGCACCTGGACTATTTCCGCCACGCCCTATGCTGAGGTGGTAAGTAACAGAGAGAGTAAAATCTGTTGTTCAGCTTTTTACCCGGCTTTCATCTCCACAGATCTACGATCAGAATCATCTCAAGTTCAAGCAGTGCTCGTACAATTGGTGGGATCACAGTCTGGCCATAGGAGAGGTCCTTTTCCTTGCCTGGGGCATACGCGTCTGCTACAACGTTCGCAATGCGGAAAGCCTCTACAACGAGGCTCGCTTGATCTCCTACGCCATCTATAATATAGCCATTGTGAATATTGCTATGGTGGCTTTTCAGTAAGTCCTGCACCTGTCGCACCTGTAGCAGCTGTTTAAATTGTCTCTATAGAGTTTCACACGCCATTTCTGTTGCCATTTTATTTTTTTCTAATTCCTACGCATCTCCTGGCATTTTATCTGTCCCGTCCGACATGCCCACAATTTTAATTAAATTCCCTGGCTTTGTGCGCTCGCGCATTTCCGTTGTAATCCTTTTTGTCGCTCTGCAAGGACATGCTGTCAGCCTCCACAGCTGTCTGCCTGTCTTCCTGCCTCTCTCTCTGTCTCTCTGTCTCTCTGTCTCTATATCCGTTTGTTTACACTGACAATCCACGGATTTCATTGCCAAGTTCTCGTCCGACTCTTGCCTTCTGCCTGCCAAATGGAAATCCTTTCAAGTGTTTTGATAATTAATGCAATTTGTTGTTGTGCTCTTCAACTTCTTCTTTTCTTCTAACACTCCACTGCCCTCGGTAATTTAAGTTCAAGGTTTAGTCGTAGGTCGAGTTCTTTTCTATAAAGTTTTCTGGCTCTGTTTGAAGGAAGTTAAATTTGGGTTAGATTAGCTTGGGTTAGGTTAGCTAAAAGGTGAAGAATTGAATTAAGAACTGAATTAAAAGGACACTTAGGAACGTTTATATAAACTGGATAAAGGACTGGCTGACTGAATGATTGACTGACTGATTGGCTTAACTAAGTGGTTGACTGAAAGACTTACTGATTGATTGACTGATTGACTGGCTGACTGACTGACTGATTGACAGACTGACTGATTGAATTGATGGTGAACGAACGAGCTGATTGACTAATGAACTGACCCATTCAGTGATTTATAGACTAGTGATTGATCGATGGAAAGGTTGACTGATCGATCGGTCGAACTTAATTTCATGTGATTTGAAATGATTTGACGACGGATTAACTTCAAAAGAAAATCAATTTCAAGCAGATTTCACTTTGATTAAGCTAAGTAATTCTGTATCTTCTTAGCTCAAAGCTGCTTAAAACTTATCAAAATCTTGTTTAATATTCATATTCCTCCTTCCTCCGCAGTGTTATGCTCTTTCCACATGCTGGACCCGATTACAAATACATGCTGGGCTTCGTGCGCACCCAATTATCCACCTCGACGACCATTGCCCTGGTCTTTGGTCCGAAGATTGCGCGTGTCTTCAAGGGCCAGGGCGACAAGTGGGATCAGAAGGCCAAGGTGCGCAGCATCACAGCTTCGTTCTCGCTCAATGGAGTGGGCCTGGTGCCCGAGGAATCGCCCGATCTATACCAGGAGAACGAGGAACTCAAAGTATTACCCCCAAATCACTTATGTAAAACTTGCCCTAAGACTCGGTTTTTGTGCAGGAACAAATACAGAAGCTGGCGCATCAGATCGAGTTCATGAAGACTGTGCACATGCAGATGAATAACCGACATCTAAAACCTAAGCCAGGTGGCTATTTTACCATCACGTCAACCTCATTCCAGGCGCCCTACAGCAAGAACACGGTTTCCACGGCGCAAACACAAACTGGCAAGGACGACGGGTAGGCCCCTTAGATGCGTGTAGAGAATTAAACAGGGATATATATAGAAGAAAAACTTATTACTTTATATATGTATATTAATGTTTCAGGAGTAGTTAAAGAACATCAGAAACAAATTATTATTTACTAAAAAATAGATTTTAAATTTTTATCAAGCTGCCTTCGCACACATTCATGTATATTTTATAGTGATATATTTATTATGATTTTTATTAATTTATGAAAAGTTAAGTTTTGCATTTCATATAATAATTTATTAGTTATTATTTATGAATTACTTAAAACGCGATCAAGCTTAAAGACTAAACTATTTTCATACAATTCGCATTTTCATATAAAGGTGCAAAAGCTAAGTGCTATGAAACACTTGAGCTCCTAGCTAAGTTGATATGGCTCATGCCATACTCACGCACATGGCTGACTGCCATGAAACTAAGCTGTTCTTTTGTTGGGCATAGATCAGCTGACAAAAGCTAAATGATATGCAAATGGTAAAGCTAAACGATTGCAGGCAAGGGCGACACTGCCCATATCAATCCATAAGCGAATCAATATACTTTATGTAAATTATATATAACATATATATTGATCTTTACAATCTTATTGTCTTTTTAGTTTGACCGGCAATGCGACGCCTTCGAAATGCAAATCGCCGAAGGGCAAAGTCTGACGCGGTCAACGAAGTGTTAAAGATTGCTCAATAAATGTTGTTGATAAGCATGGAAGAGAGGTCGTGGATAATGCAATTGATTTTAGTTTCTACCAACAAGCAGACGAGCAGCAGCAGCAGGATGAGCTGGAGCAGGAACTGGAGCTGGGGCTGGGCAACGATTCAGATTTGCTGAGTCAATTTCGTCGCATCTTTGCGCCCATTGTGGAGGACAGCTTGCAGCTGTACTACGAGCTGAACAGCCAGTTGGATGTGGCTGGTGAGGATGATGACGACGATGCAGTGCAGCATATACGCATTCATCGCACTGTGGCCGAGCTCAATGAGTTGACCAGCAGCGAGGAGGAGACGCTAATGACGCAGCTACAGTCGGCGCCAGAGCAGCCGGAGCTAGAGCTGCCCAGCGTGGACAGCAGCTCCACCATTTCAACCACATCGAGCAGCTGTTTGTATGCGATGCATACGCCTCCGCCGCCCTGTCTGGAGTCGCCACAGTCGGAGGTCAGTGAGCCGTTGACCATAACAGAGCAAGTGCAGCTGCATGCGCCGCCAGCCAACAAAAACAATGCCCCGGAGCTCGACCTGGAGGAGCAACAGGACTCCAGCATTAACAACAACAACACCTCCTGCTCATTGTCCTCCACGCTGACGGATAGCAAAACTTTGGACGCACGCACGCCCATTGTGGTCTAAAGATACTATCCAATTGGAATCTAATTGGACGTGCGGCTGTTGCTTTCTGCTTCAGTTTGTGATTTCATTTACAACAACAACAACAGCAACAACAACAACAGTAAACGCTTAATGTTTAAAACTAGTCTTAAATAATGTTTGTGTGTGTATGTGTCTCTAGATCTGTCCCTCTACTGGGCGTAGGCGTCTGTCGTTTTTTGGGCGTGGCACGAAGGTACTTAGAGAGAGCAAAGTGGAACCCAACGATGCGCCAATCGCGCAACTTCTTATCAGTTTTAATTCATTTATTTTACTTTTTATGTTGAATATTTTTAAAATAAATTTAAATTGTATTTTTTAAGTTCAATTTATATTAATATTTAAACATTTTAAATACCTAAAAAAAATGTATAACACTGAAATATTAAATTAATATATAATCAAAATAATCTATAACAAAAACTGATTAATTAAAAAAAAATTAATTATTTTCTTTTCTATTGAAAATATGAATAATCTTTAAAATTATAAGACAAATAATTCTAAAAACATTAATAAAATATTTCTATCTTTTTTAGTTACATTAATTGTTATATTGCTTTTTTTTAATTTAATTTGAATATTTTATATATTACATTTATTTATATATTTTAAATGAAATTCTATAATTAATATGGGGAAACCCATGAGCAGTATTTTTTATTTAATTTATTTGTAATATTATTTTATTTTAATTTAAATTCGAATCTTGTTTTAATTTTAAGCTTTAATAATTTATTTTATTGTAGACCATCTATACCACGCCCAGGGAAAGGATTTGCCTTGCATTCAACTTGTGAATTCCCTAATTTGATTGGCTTTCTGTTTCAGCTTCTTACACATACGTCCATTTACTCTAGGTTTTCAAACAAGTATTTTCGATCATTCATCAACAAAAAGAGATTTAGAAAAAACGCAAATTGAGCAAATATTTTTCACTTCGTTCGGATTGTCAAGGAACTTGGTGGAGTTACTGGCCAAAGGAAGGATAGTGGCATAGGAAGGCGTAGTGGGTGTGGCCAGCCAAACTGTAGAATGTCAGATGGTACAGCTCATAGAGCTATGCCCTAGGGCTTAGCCTGATCTTGTCCTTATTTCTCTCTCACTCTCTCATGCACCTTAGAAAAAAGCAAAAAGATAAAAGAAAATTCCCTAATTTCACGCACTCACACAGAAAACTTTGTTGCAATTCAATTCTACTTTCGACATTCGACTTTAAGTATTATAATCTAGTCAAAATCAATTTACTTAACTCATCGTCAAGCTATATATCCAATATATGAAACTTAAGGTTAGCAAAAAGAGTCGATTTTAGTCTAATTGGTAAAAGGCATAAAAAATAAAAAAAAATAAATAAAAAAATTTGACTTTTAGCGTACAATTTTTAACAATAAAAAATATATATAAAAAATAAATAATTGTTAACAGGCGCGCAATTTTTCACAAATAGTTGGGCATTACGTATATAAAGAAATTGCAACAAATTATACAATTAATTAACAGTTAAGTTAACGTTTAATTAAACCTAAACATATTGAAAGAAAAAATCAAAAACAAAACCAAAAGAAACAGAAAACAAAAATTGCATAAATAAATGTTAATAATAATAAAAAAATTAAATGTGTTTTTATTACAAAATATATTAAAAAATATATTTTTGAAATTTTAAATATTAAAAGAAAATCAAAGTAATAAAAAAAAATAAAGCAAGATATGAATATATAAAAAAAATACAATAAAATAAGGAAAAAAACAAAATTTGCATAAATAAATGTCCTGATCATGGAGTCTGCCAAGCCTCCCTCTGCAGCTTCCCAAAACTAATATTGTAGAATTGTCCTTTTCCATGGGTTCAAGGTATTTTAGAATGAGCAAATGATCGCTTCGTTTGTTTGATTTGAGATATAAGCAGTTGCCTAGTTGCTCCGTTCTATATTCAGCGTCGAACTCATAGACTTGTGTCATAAGCTTACTCAATCTAGAAAAATCCCATTCAGTTCCTTTTCTAGTTGGCTTTTACGTAATTTTTTCACCCTGACATTGAAATTTTTGTGTTGTTGCTGCGGCAGCAGTATGGGCCGCAAGTCTCATGATGACACGACACTGAATCGAGTACTAGACGAAGATTTTGATTGTCTGTTGCGTGTCGCTACTTGCATCGGCGAGAGCTTGGCGCGCCCAAAAGATCGTGAGATTTGCACCAGAACCCTACAGGACTTGGCCAAGTTCAACAACAAGAGCTCGAGCATAACAAAGCGCCATGTGCGTAAGTTTCTCTGCTTCTATTTGCAGGTGCTACGCTGGACGCAACTCCATCAGCCACTGGAACTATACGAGAAATGGGTAGGTCGATCAATCGATCTCCATACAGATAATTTGCTAACCTTTAACCTTTGCTCTCTTACTCTAGTATAACAATCCAAATCAGTCGGATAGGAGAAGGAAGCAGTCGGATGAAATGCACTTTTGGCTGGAGCAAGGACGCTCTTACCTGGCCATGAAACACTTCGATGATGGCTCCACTGTTATCTACTCAGCAGTGGCCAAGGACAGTAGCTACGGCTGGGCAGAAGGCGGTCTAAAGTCGTTGACATATCAGGAAAATACACAAAGAGATGATTAAGTTATATAAATGTAAAATTTAACTAAAAACACTAACTATACATAGATTTTGTTTCGGCACGCTGCATCTGCGAGATAAAAACAAATATAGACTATATATACATTTGGCTTTGTCAAACATGAGTTTTATCATTTCTTTTCGAGATTCGAAGTGTACAACTGTTGTGGCTTATAATTAAATACAAAAGGTGGACGGAATGTGTAGCGGTGTGTATAAAATTTGCTTAAACTAAGTTTGATAGGAGCTTCCAATTAGCTGAAGGCACTTTGTTGAAGGCAGCTGGACGAGCTCTCTAGCTGCGCATGAATTTGGCTACGCCTGCCATCATTGCGAAGCCAAGCAGCAACTGCAGAGATTTGTGAATCTTTGTTAAGCCGGAACCGTTGCAGCTGTCGCTGGAACAATAACACTCCTCCCAATAGACGCCATTCTCATAGACGCCCCAGTTGCAGACACCTGTGACACCTGTATCCGAAACAGAGGCACAACGGCGTATTACCTGGCGCCAGCGACCGTCCCCTAATGAAACACGAAACGGCTATAACAAACTGCAACAATAATTCCACTACTACTCACAGATAAAGCCTCGTGGTCCCTGCTGTATGACCTTCATGCAGAAGGAGCCTGGCATATGGGATTCATCGCTGTTGCACTCAATGGAAATGTGTTCGGTGCGATTGAACGCTTTGTAGGCACCGCAGCTGTCATGGCCCTTGCGATCTTGATCCGATGAGCACTGGTAGCAGCGTATGGCCCAGCTCCCTAATTCAATGAGTAATGAGCAAAACAAGAAATTTCAATTAGTTAACTGTTGGCAGACCACACCCAACATTTGACTTAGACAATATAGCTACATTAGCTATACGCACTGGCTTACCGCATACGTTTAGCGTGAGCAACAACAGGGCGCAGCTTGTTAATCTCAACATCATATATCCTTCTTGTTATTTGTGCGTTTAAAAATATTAAAAACTAAATTTATTAAAACAAAACAAGATGCTATGGCTGTAAAGTGACCGTAACTAATGTTTACGTTCTGAGTGAATGGCAAATAAATGTGGCGGTCGCCCGACTAACAGTAGTGCTGGGCAGCAGCAGTGTTGGTAAAAATAAAAAAATGGGCAATTAATTTGGCGCGTGTTTCGAAATGTGTGGATAAATGTAAAAACATTTTTTATGAGCACCTTCCCCGTAATGAAACACATTTAGCAATACATTTACTTTTTTGTAATAAATTAAATATATATTTTACTTGTTGCAAATAGTTCTGTCTGTTTTTTATTTGTTCTCATACACATCATGTACAACATTCCGATATGTAACTATTTGTATAAGTTATGAAACAACTGCATAATTTACACATACATAATATATAATATAATATAATATATATATATATATTCATAATAATTGTTTGTTTACGATTAACAGCAACCACCTAATAGGAGTATTCAAATACAAACTAATGCTTATTCATTTATTTATATATAACTGTATATTTATTTATTTACAATTGGGGGGAATTTTATATAGTTGAAGCGCAGCCACAAATTACAATTAGAATAAATAAATAAAATACTATTACTTGATGTACACATAAATTAATTAATTTTTTTGTTTTGTTTTGTTTGCAATTTGGCTAATGAGAGTTGTAATATCTAGATACGCCTAAGTGTGTGGGCGGGGCTAAGGGGAAGTTGCTATATATATTCATAAAATACATATATATATACATAGAAATTTCAACATGTACAAAAATCATATAAAATACTTTAACAAATGCATTTGCATTACTAAAATACTTTCTTGGAAAACAAATGCGGATAAGACACGACTATATATATAGATAGATATATATAATATCAGACGTGCCTATTCTATATATATGTATAGGAGAGGATCATTCAGTTTGTTTAGTTAATACTTATGTTAAGTTTACACAGGCTACTTGCATTAACTATTTATATCATATTTTGATTTTTTATATTTAAGTTTTTTCTTTTTGCTTTCGTTTTCTTTGCTTTTGGAGTCGGCGATGCACTGGGATTGTCTCAAATTGTGTTTTGGTTTTTTTTGCTCTGCTTTCTTTCAGTGTACATCAGGCGCTGCGCTTGCTAGGCTGATAACAATTGAGATTGGCGGAGAGGCGAGCGAGCGCATGAAACATGCGATTCGGCAGTCGCAACAATTGGCGGTGCTGTTGCTGTTGCAGTTGCAGATGCCGTTGCTGCTGCTGCTGCTGTGGATGTCGCAGTTGAGCCAACACTTCGGCATGTTGCACATAGGAGACGCGAATATTGACCGCCTCATCGTCATCGCGATCGCTACCACTGCTGTCCACATCCTCGTAGTAGGCGAACCCCGCCGGTGGCAGCTCGACAACAGGTGGCGCCACTGCCAACGTTGCCGCGGACTATATGTTGGCATAATACGGCGCTGGTGTATGAGCATCGCATGGCTTGACGCGCAGCTTCTGCTTGTAGTGATATTCCTTGAGATAGCTCTTCAAGCGTCCTGGCAGCTCCAGCTGATTGACGCCATCGTATGTGGTATTCGAGACGATTGTGGCACGCGCCAGCTCCTGCAGCGAGAACGTTTGACGGCGATGCAGAGGCATGGTTAGGCAGGGCTCAAAGAACATAACGCACGACGGATCTTTGTAGTGCTCCAGCAGACCAGTTACCGTCAAATCAGCAAACACGCAAGGATCATGACAGTCGAAGCTAAAACGGGAACACAATTGAACTGTTAGTAAAAGTTTTTGCATGTATTTAACTTAAATTAATGATGATGTACTTAAAAATTTAGTTGGAAAAGCAATTTGACATTTTAATAGCAATTAGCTTGAAAAGCCATTTAGCTTGAAGCACTCTTAAAAACCATTAATTTAGCATGAATAAGTATTTTTAGAGCTGCGCGTTAAATGTAATTAGATCTAGTTCGTTTGAAATTGCACTGAACGATAACACAACTCATCGCTAAGAAGAATGAATATGTTTGGCTATTCATTTTGATTTTCCGTTTATCGAATAACACATGATAGCACAACTCTCAACTCTAACACGCAGTGGAACTCATGCATCTGTGTGTTCGTTTGTGTATGTATGTGTGTATGTGTGTATGTATGTATGTGTGTATGTGTGTATGTATGTGTGTATGTGTATGTATGTATGTATGTATGCATGTATGTATGTATGTATGTATGTATGCATGTATGTATGTATGTATGTATGTATGTATGTATGTATGTATGTATGTATGTATGTATGTATGTATGTATGCCTGCATAAATATGTGCACATTGACTCACCTAAATTTGTGGCCACTTTGCTCAATGCGCGCGTGCAGTGAACGTCCGTATTTCCGGAATGTAACTGAGAATAGAAACTCCTCCTGTGCGGAGTCGCGCAATAGAAATGTGCCCTCCGGCTTGCCTTCGAGCAGACGCTCCGCCTCATAGCGATCCATTTTGCCCCAGTAGAAGCTGCTGTTGATAATCCGTTCCAGATCCGGCACCAAACAATGCATGAAATCAATTTGCGAATGTACCGTTACACCGGCACCATACGCATTCACCGTTGGCGGGCAGGACTGTTCGATGGATAGAGGCAGCAGAGCTGCCGTGCCGGTTGCAGGAGCTGCTCCATCTGTAGTAGTTACCAAGCGTATATTGTGACCCATAGCAGCGACCATGGGCAACGTATTGCGATTATTGTGACTGACGGCAGCAGCTGGCTCCACGACAAATTGCGGCATCGGCTGTGAGCTGATGCGTATGATGACATCGCCAATGCCATTCGTAGGCGCTGCCCAAATGGCCAATTGGCTTGGCTCGGCAATAGCCACCGAATTGCGTTGAATTCGCTGCAGTTGCGAGGCTGATGCTGCTGCGCTGCCAGTGCCGCTGCCGCTGCCGCTGCCGCTGCTTAGCGTTGGGGGCGTTGAACGTCTGTCTGCACTGCTGCGCGGTTTACTCCTAGGCGCCGCTGCTGCGGCTGCTTCCTTTTTGTCCTTGCTGGCCTGAGCGCTGCTTGAGCTGGGTTCCAGAATGCCTCGCAGCCCACGAATCACATCGCGACACTTGCACTTGCAGCAACGTCGCTTCGATGTGCTTGCTCCTGCTGCAGCTGCAGTTGCAGTTGCTGAATTCATTGACAAAGCTTTGCTGCTGCGACTGCGACAGCAGCTGTTGCCACTGCTGCTGCTACTAGAGCTCGCTGCTATTGAAATGAAGAGAGACAAACACGAAAGTGAATAACTGTATTAACAAATGAATTCGCTCTGGAGCTCACCTTGCGTACGTTGTTGTCCGCTCGACAGCATTTCGTTAACTGGCTGTGGCTCGAGCACCTCACAGTACTCGACGCCTTCGCCGCTGCTGCGACGCAGCAGAGACGATAATGCCACTTCCAATTCGCCGTCTTCGCTGACGACGTCGTTGACGACGACGTCATCATCGTGCAATTGTAGCATTCTGACCGATGTAGGCGCCGACGTCAACGCCGACTCCGACGCAATGCTTCCCGCTAAATTGTTATTATTCACAATTTGTCTTTCGTTTGTTTTTTTCGGCGCTTCCGTTGAAGAACTGCCCGCAGTTCGACTAGCACCTGCGCCCATTTGTTCATTTGCATTGACTATGTCGTCCGCAGCAGACGTCGCGGCGCCCTCTGACAAAGGCAATTGCTCGCGCTCGCGCTCGCGCTCTCCCTCTCGCACCCTCTGCTCCTCCTCCTGATTGCCATTCTCCATTTTTGCCAATTGTATTTTAATTATAATTTGTCGCACCTCAGCTAACGCCTCCTCAGCCGCTGCTCCTGCTGCTGTTGTTGAAGTTCTTGTTGTATTTGTGCCGCCAGCTTCGACAGTTTCAGCCAATTCTTCGTGCTGCTGCTGATGCTGCTCCGAATTCGCTTCGCTAATGGAATTTCTATGAACTTTGCTTTTGCTGCTGTCAACGACGTCTGCTGTTCGCTTGCTCAATTGAAGACCCATTGGAAACTGCTGTCTTCTGCTCTCTTCCAATTCCAGCTACGTTCAACTGTAAATAGAATTACACAATTATTTTAAATGTAAACAAACTTCTGTTTAACTAACTATATTTTAAATTATTTTGAATTTGCATATTATGGCGTTGCCACACTGTTTAATTAACTTCTTATTAGCTGCTGCACTTATGTTAATAGGTGGCCATACCTTCCATATTTGGACATTTTAGTGAATTCTAAGGAGTTGCCACCGTTTTTTATTTGCTTAACAATTTGTCAAGTTTCCTTGATTCATTCTTCGACGAATTGTCAAGGTGTTGCCACCTTGTTATTTCTGTTAATCACACACGTTGTTTCCACTAGCTGCATTTTAATTCGAAACGGATGTTGGTCTCTTTTTAATTTATTATAAAATACATTTTACTGGAAACAGTGAGTAATTGCTTGAGTAATAGAAATTCCACGTTATTTACAGTTCAGTTTTTTATAAATGATTTTCTCACAACAATCCATTCAAGTGTCACGGAGTCAGTCGCTTAACCGAGTGTGAAATGTCTTGACCTGCAGCAACAAAACAGGCGACAGACCCCCCTCTTAGCTCCTCCTGCCACTCTAGTTTTGCTGACTTAATTACTTAACTCAAGTAGAGTTGAAGTTGGAGCGTTCATCAAGCAATTAAATGCATTTTGAACTAGATAGAAGCAACAGCAACCCCCAGCCCCACACACACACATACGGCAGTTGGTTGCCAAGTGGCCGACTCTCCCCCACACGAACTGACTCACGCATTGCTCAAGGAATGGCCCATTAAAATAAACAATGGAGCGCATACCAATCCCACGCATCGCGCTTGTCGACAACATCTCTGTAAGCGTAACGTAACGCGAAATAACGTAATGATTGATGCTATATTTAGACAGGGCGACGAGTAAACTGAAGCTGGCGAAATTCTAGATGAATATGATGAGCAAATGTTTAGGATTCAAACATTGCTTAATTTATTAACTGGTGCAATGTACTGGCTCATGAGCGACAGCAAACATGCAAAGGCACAATAGAACTTCTGGTTCGCTAATGAACGATAGCTGGCATAGCTGAAAGGAGCTTCAAGTTCAGCTGAGTAACTATAGTTCAACACTCATAGTCTTAGTCTTAGTAGTTCATTTGAACAAGCGCCTGTTGAACTAGTCTATTCCCAACTTGTTTTGTATATCAAATTTTTGCTGATTTCACAAATCATTGCAATTTTCAGAAAAAGAAGAAGCGAAAAACCCCTGCACCCACGACTCACATTCAAGTTTACACAGTAAATGTTCATTCAGCAGAATAGCGCTTACGAGATTCGTTCATTGATAACGCGACTCGTATAAACGATTTACAGTTTATCTGAAGGGAAACTACTCAATGTGTGTGTGTATATGGGGCCGATACGAAGTGTGACTCGAGAATCCTTATCGCAGCAATTGAAATGTGTTAGCTAATGCGTCACCCAATTCAAGGGCAAGCCGTGACAGACTTCGCTCTAATGAGTCACTTTCTAGGCCAATGTACCCGAAAAAAAACGTGAAAAAGAACAGCTGGAAATATTGTCACAAAAAAAGCTTTGTCATTATGTGGTTATTCCATTGAAGCATTAGCTCACCGATCAGGCGACTTCTGAATATCATTCGAATATAATATAATGATTAGAAAGTATATTAAATTGATATATGAAAATTCAATTTAATATACATTCTAAGAATCACACATATATATATTTAATGTAGTTAATGTAATTATCTCTCTCCCACTCTCTCTCTGTCATTTGCAGAATCAGAAATCGCAGTTCACTAATTCTGACATCCTCTAATTAGCTTTTCAACAGAAATACTAATATAATTTCCTCAACGCTAATTGGTAATCAGTGAGCTTTAAGCTAAACTTAACCAATTGCTGCGCAGTTATGGCTACATATATATATATATATCTATGTGTACTTGAAACACCCTAAATTTCTGGGAAATTTGAAACGTCGATTGGAAACGCTTTCAAATTTCGCTCGTTAAACAATTAACAAAGTGCGAAGGGAGGGGGAGAGGGAGAGTGTATTTAATAGCACAGCTAAAGTTGGTTGGAAACCCATTTCAGGCATTTCGTACTTCCCGGAAATGCTATAGACAGTCAAAAAGCAAAGAACTCGATATGGCAACGCTTGACTCGTTTTTAGTTAGAATTTCTATACTTTTAAATTGGTTTTTCTCTCCATACTTTACAGTTAGCTAAACTAATTGGCATATGTGGCGCAATCTATGGCCAACCGGCAGCAACATCACGTGCTGCATTTCGACCTTACTCAATGCGAATGAATTAATTCATTATGACACAACACCACAGAACAGTTTGATTTGCTAATTTTAAACACAAAATCCCAGAACAAAACGAATTATAGTAATTTATATTATAGGCAATATATATATATATATATGTGTGTGTATGTGTTCATGTGCATATACATATATTATTTACGATAATGATGAAATCCAGAGAGCCCGCATGACATGACGAACGTTGAACGAGCAACTTTCAATGGAAACACAAAAGTTAAAGCATACCAGATAAAACCGCATAGCGCGCTCTAAAAAGTTAACACACATGCATACGCACACATACACGCCATGTGTGTATGGGTAAGTGGGTAGGTAGTTTTGCTAGTGGGGCATGAGTCACAGGACCGATTGCGCTGCAGCCTGCTTGGCGGTTCGAGAAGGCCCGCTTTTTCGTACCTTGTTTCTTCTTCTTTTTTCACGTTTTTTTTTTGTGCTTTGTTGCCATGAGCTGGAAGTGCTGCAGACAATGCGAAATTTCATCAGAAATCCAAATACAGATAATGATCTAATACATAACTTGTTCCTGGTAAAGCATAACGCTGATAAACGCTTCACAGTAAAGTCTATATATATATATATACGGGGGGCGCGACATATACACGTACGCATGCATGTAGTAGGGTCGGGTGTATTGTACCTGAGCTTTTTCTAATAGGCACCTGTCTGAATATTACGCTTATCTATTGCACTAGTTGAAATTAATTTCAAATAAATTGTTTATTTTCAGCTTAAATATTTGTTGTTTTCTGGAAACTCTAAAGCCGATAAGCGTTCAATTCTTTTCAAATTAAAATACTAACTATTTGGCTATGTATTTAGTAAAAAGTTGAAAGCAACTAAACGTTCGAGGGGCCGGGGGTAAAGAGTGTAGTCAAAACTTTTCCAATTCAGTATTGAGAAAAATAAAAGTTTGCTAAAAGTTAAGTCGCAGTTTTGCCAACATTAAACTCTGCGCGTATCTTTGGGAACTGAGTTCCCAGCAATTCGCCACCCGCTTCACTTTACATAACTGCTCCCCGTCCCTCTCGCACACTGGCATTTAAAAATCAAAGAAAAAAGCGAAATTGCTGCGCTGGTGTTGCCTCCGCCTATTGTCATGTTTTTACGCTGAAATTGTCACAACAAAACAAAATGAATTGCGGTCAGTGCGAGCTTACAGTAGAGGCAGTTGACGAGAAGAGGAGAGAGAGATGTTGGGGGCAACAATGTGTATGAGCTAGGCAAGCTGCTGTAGTAGTAGTAGCAGTTGAGTAGCAAGCGGGCAAGTGCAAAACTAAAGCGTGAGCAAAAAGTCAACTGCAACAACAAAGCCTCAACAGCGGCGACGGCCTGGTATGAGAGGCGAAGTCAGAGTCAGGCGAGGAGAGAAGCGGCGAGGCTTGCAAGCAGGATAGGGCTATATAGGTAGACAACAAAGACGAATGGGACAGAGACACACGGGCGTAGGATTTTTAAAGCGAATTCAATTACTTTTCGTTGCCGTCGCTTCGTTGACTCCATTGGCTGCTGCTGCTACTGCTACCGGTACTGCTTCTTCTTGCTATTTATTTCATTTTTTGGTTTTTTTTTCGTTTTTCGCTTTTGCAGTTACTTGGAATTCGCAAATGAACTTCGCTTGAAAACAAAATCACATGCAAAGCAGAGCGCGCGGCAACAAAGCGCAAAGTGCCAAAGGAGCGCAACGAACGAGGCAAAAAGGGAAGACACAGAGAGTGGGGAGTGGCCTCTGTACAATGCGGCCTGAGAAAGTGTATTTCATTTTGATATTTTTTCGCAAGAAAATTGAAATGAGATTTATTTATTACGTTTTCATTTTGCCCACTCACTCGCCCGTACGCCCGTCCGCTCATATGTATACATATATATATATATATATATATATATATATATATATATATATATTAAAAGGTATTTGCTTCTCTCCATTCATTGCGCGCTTCACTCGAAATTTTGTTGTATGAACATAAACAATTCTCATGGCAATTCGGCTTTTTCATATGCCAATTTAATTAGCAATTCCACCGAATTCAACTGCTCTCACCCACGAGCTTGATTTTTTATATTTATCTACGAATTGCCATCTCACTCATACACGCACACCCACATATACTCCTCTATCTATCCCTTCATACGCTTATCATGCGGTTCGTGACTGATATGCTTGGGATTTGGCCATTGCTATAGAAATACCTAGAGAAATCTCATTGACGTAGATAAACAACACAAATAGCAAAAAAGTAATCCAATCAAATTCTCATAAGATGCCATTGTTTATGACTTTTTGTACTGTTAGATATGAATGTACTAACACTTTACTTTTTCACATTTGCAGTTAACAGTTAGCTGGAAAGGCTGCACTAAGGGCATCCAGTGTCATGTAATTTTTTAATTTATTTAATTAAATTAAATTAATTTTCAAATTAATTAATTATCGATGCTAAAAGTGTAGGTTTTTTGCTTGTCTTTCTAATTTTAAATAAGTTTTAATTTTTTTTTTTTTTTTTTTTTATTTTATAGGCAATATATTTATTTCTTTATTTTGTTGCAGCTTATTGTCTTAGACTCTATAGCGCATTTAGCTCTAAACCTTAACTAATGGGAGGGCAGATATGCCAATTATTCTGCACTTGTAGATTAAGAAAACTTTATTACATACTTCCCTTATTGTGTATGTTCAGCTCTTATCACCTTATTTTTGGCATTCGCATTATCTAAGCTCACGCCTTGGATAAATTTTCTAGTTAAATACATAAATACACATATGTGTGGCTTATGAAGTACGCACACACGTTAATACAGATGTATGAGCGCAATAATACATAAGTAGTAGAGGAAAAGAAGAGGTAGCACAATAATAATATTAACATGAATGTGAAAAGTGGCAAAATTCGTAGAAATTCGCTGCGGCGCTGAAAGGCTCTCATGATAAATCCGCATACAATACACATACTTATGTATGTATGCATACACACATATATATGTGTGTGTATTCTTGGAAAATATGTATGCACACGGTACTCACATGGTTGGTGAAGTCATGAAGTTGTTTAAAGGTACGCAGCCCCTATATTGTACGTGTATGTTTATGTGTGTGTATGTAGGTATGCGTGTGTGTATGTGTGTGTTTCTGATTAAACGCAAGCACTAACAAAATTTCAACTTAATTTGCTAACGATTTTACTCTAGTCCAGCTGCGGGCTGTGCGTCGAATACTTTGCCAAGGTTACCTCGAAAGATAGGTTTGGCCTATTCATGTTAAGATACAGATACATACGCATACACACACACTCGCACTCACACGCATTTAGATACATTTGTATCTTTTTGTACATATTTTGTTATGATAATGCTTAAGATTTGAATTATGAATGACTAACGGTAAATAGAAGGAATATAGCCAAGTCTGATTTTGTTCCCAGTCAATTCTAAGCCCCAAATTTGCGTTAGAAGAGCATTAGAAGCAGAAAGGAATGTAGATTATATAGTTTGAGAAAAAAGCTTTTTGTAAGGTGAATCAAATCGTATATCACAGATTATTCTAAAAACAGATTATAGTTTGACATGAAAAAGATATAGTGTTGAACAACAAAGTATTAGTCTATATAGTAGAGGATATATATTATTATATCGTATAGCTATATATAGGAGATAAAGTAGAAGCCTCTACTATATCTAGCACTATGCTACTTTATATACTATATATAGCAATGTGATATATATAGCCTCTACTATATCTACTACTATTTGGTGTTCACTCTACATACATATATCGTATAGTAGAAGATAAAGTAAATTTATACGATGGATAGATTCAGTAGAAACTTTTTGATATAACAATGGATATAGAAAATACTGTTTGATATAAGACTAGATACAAAAGTTTTCAATTTCTATGCGATATATTAATCGAATTTGATCAAACTCTATAATAAAACAATATGCTACACTTCATTCACATGTCCAACCCTGTATATGCTTTATATATCACATTAGTCATTTGATTTATGTACCTTAAGAACCAATACACATACCTGCACCCCCGTATTGAGGTAGGTTTCACACTATTATCAAGAAGCACTTGGAATTCGCCAAATAAGGCTATACTTTAGAGCAATTACTTTCTCGTACAGCCTAGAAATGTCAACTGGACAATTCAGCGGAACAATCGGCGCTCTTTAATTCGTCAACAGAAACTAAATACATATATATGTATATATATATGAATGTTAATATAATAGCAACGATTAAATTTATAAATTTAGCGATTACGATTGCCTTCAGCCGGAAGCCGATAGGCAAAATAAAAAAATATACGAACGAAACCGCAAATTATAGTACTTGATGTATGGACACACACACATGCATGTACGTACTCACTCATAAAACAGTTCCAGGCAACTGAAAATTTAATCAAAGCGTTCCACAAAATTTCATTGATAAATAACAACGGTAAATAAAAAGCTGGTGTGAGTATGGGTGTGTGTGTGTGCGTGTGTGTGCGACTGTCGCCCAACCAACCATAGAAATTGTCAACTAGAGATGTGCAATTGACGTGACTGAGTAACTGCTGTAATGAGTAACTGTTACGCAATGTAAATACATCAGGGCATAACGAAAATAAACATAGTTCATAAAAAACCACTAACTGTATATTGTAAAACAGATATTTAAATAAATAAATCAATAATTGAGCAATCGATATACTCTGATGCAAATAAACACTCTAAAGCCAACCTTTCGACTCTGCGAGTACACAAACAGAATTTAATGCTAGTTACGCTTGCAATTAATGTTACTTATCACAATTCTCACGAAAATCAGAGTGTTTAACGGGTCTGATAGTATTCTGGCGAATAATACACACAGAGCTTATCAGACGCGAGCACAAGACACAAAGAGGAGGTTGGGAAACAACAGTTCCAAGAACAATCAAAAGCGCTTCGTTTTCCATGGAAATGGAAGGCAAATATGTGCACACGGAGAGTGAGAGAGGAAGAGATACACAAAGAAACGACACAAGTGGAGCTGACAACATGGGCATGAGCAAGTGGCTTAGATAAGTCAACTGGAACTGGAACTATGGAACTGGCTTTGCTTGGTTGGGGGTCATTGGGGGTGTGTGTACCATACGGACCAAGTGTAACTTGTAATTGGTAACTGGGCAACGCTCTAGCAAATATAGATTAGGTCGTCATCATCTACTTACGAAAGCGACCCAGATGAAATTCGAAACAAAACAAAATAAAACAAGTTCAAAAACTTGAAGCCAACCAAATATGAACCGGTTTCTCGACAACAACAAAAAAAATTCATAATAAAAAAAAACAAAACAAAAAATTCAATAACAATATTTGAGTATTAATAGCTTTATATGCATATAGCTTCGATGATTTACTATGAAATACAATTAAGAGCAAAGTAACAAAAACATAAAAACAAACAAACAACCCAAACGAATTCCACTTTAACAAAAATTGAGTGTTTTGCCCACATTTCACTTTTGGCATTGCGTTTCAATTGAACAAATTCACGCGAACAATTAACAATGAGCGCAAAATGAAGAGAAGAGAAGAAAACAACAACAGACAGCCACTCGCATACATCAAATCAAATTTCCACGAAATCTGCACGTAAATCGTATAACAAACACTAATACAATAGAAATAGGGAAGAGTGGAAGAGAAAGAAAAAAAAAACAATAATAGCCAGAGCAGTAGCAGCAGCTGAGCATAAGCCAATATCAGCAATGAGGAGAGCTAAAGTGGGGAGGAATAGAGAATGGCAATATTTTCATGTTTATGCGTAGAGTATCACGAATAGTGTGACAAACACTTATTGCACAAAATTAATAAAAGAACATTGTATTTAATTTTATTCCATTTACATTTACATATACATATATACATATACAATTTATTAAAAAAAAAAATTAAATTGTAACTTGAGCATTTTAAGGAAATTCATAAAGCTGTTTCATTTTTCGTATTTCATTCCTTTTTTTTCAAGTCAGCTTATTTTTTATTTTTCATGAGTAATGCACAAAAAATAAGCTGATAATTGCTTTTTTATGCATTTCCGTTAGCTTGTCTGTCAAAAAAAAACATACGCATATACGTAGCTATAACTGAATAAAGAACAGCTGCTCGAATACCCGTACCAAATGCTAGAATTTATTGATTGCTATAGAATTCATTTTTTCTTAGTAATGTAAAAGCTTTCCAAAGTATGTTACTGAAATACTAACAGTCTTATTTTTGTTTACATTCATTTCGTGACTAATTCCCTAAACGCCATCCCTATTTTCCAAAGTGTGTATTTTATTTATCTTGAAAAACTCAAAATGCAGCTGCGTATGAACAAACGCGATAAATGCAAAGCACATGCAAAGGGCTCAACCTTTTCTCCTTTTTTTTTACATTTCGGTACAGACAATTTGGCATATTCGCCGTAAATATCGTTTGGCTCGCGGGCGAATCTAGACAAGCCAATTAAGCAACGCCCCAATTACACTTATCCTTGTCTCTATGTGAATGCGTGAGTGTATGTGTTGGAAACAATTTCAATTTCACATGAAAAGCTATTAAAAATGCCAGAGAGCCCACAGAAATGCACTCAAAAAAAGTTTTAATACAAATTCAAGGAAATGAGCGGAAGAAGCTGGTCAAAAACCCGCTTTTAACAAGAATGATCAAAAAACTGTGGATGTGTGTATCTGTGTGTATATGTGCATTACAGACAACAGCAAAGTTAATAACACCTTTTCTTGTGAAGGGTAAGTCGAAAAATATCGCCACTGCCAACGTTGAGTGTGTATGAAGTATGGCTTCAGGCGAATTGAGTCAAGTTTCGCTCTCGCCTTCTCTCTCTCTCTTTAGCTGCGCGTGTAACAGTGTGTGTGAGGCCAGCTTCAACTTGGCTTGTGGTGTTAAATGTTTGCAGCCGCAGCAGCAGCAGCATTTCATTCAATAGCCGCCACAGCAACAGCAGCTGCCGACTTCAGCAGCCGCCAACTGCCGCGCTCCCTTTGCCATTGTCTTTATGCTCTTGTTGCTGTTATTGCTAAGTCTCTCTGTGTGAGCGCGAGAGTATATGCATATGTATGTGTCTGTTTGTGTGCGCATTGTTGTTCGTCTTGTTGAGCTGCTGCTGCTGTTGTTGTTGTATTGTCGTTGGCTCGCTTGGCTGTCTGTCACTTCTCAGAAATTGGTCTAAATTAGAAAATGCGTTTCTGGGAATTTCGTATCTCTCTTTTGGGCACAACGAAATAACGCAACGGCGACACATACATTATGTATATGTATATATATATTATTTTTAATAAATACGTACATCAATTCTAGATCTACCTATATGCCCTTGCTATAAACCATATTTTAATAGCCTTATATATGTGTATATGTATGTATGCAATATAAATTTATCAATGGCATTTTTGCCACATGAATTGTCAACTCTTTTGTCATGGCACCCAACTATTTACCTGATTAAACGCTGTTGCTGCTATTTTTCTGTTTTGCAAATATTGGTGTTTGTTAAATATTGGCTTGTTGGCAATTTATATAAATTGTATTTTAAGCATAATTCTGTTTAGCTGGCCACACAAACATTTGCACTTAGTTATATATTGCTGCTCTCTTTCTCTTTTACACTTTCTGATTTATTTTCATCTTGTTTAACACCACGCACACAATATTTTATATACAAAAATTGCTCTAAAAACACAATTAAATTAGTGTGCACTTCAATTAAGCGACGTTGATTTCATCAATTTAAGCAATTTCACTAACGCAACGAGGACGTATCTCAATTTTTAAGACATTAATCTAAACCGAGCGACAACGACATTCGTGCGTGTTACGAGTTCCAAGTACTGCTCGCTTGTGTCAGTGACACACACTGCCACAACGTTAAGTTGGCTCTAGCAGCCTCCAGATAGGTATCGATATGTACGATACTTTCTATATATGTAATGTGTCGGAATTATTGTATTAGGGGCTTTCCAAAATTGTTAATAATAATAAATACGTATAGATTAATATAGATTAAATATACTTTAAGTCGAGAAGACTATTTATTAACATGTTAATAAACATTTATTTGTTATGATGCTAAATTTTCAAAACAAAATAATTTATTATAGTATACAATCGAAAATAGTTTTTCCAAATAAATACTTGAAATTATTAAAAAATAGTTATATAAGCTTTAATTTCACCTTAGTATAGTTATTGTGTATATTTTTTATTATCAATATTTCTTTAATATTTATATATTTATATAAAACTATATTTATATAAAAAACAAAGATAAATATTTCCGAATATTTCTGTGGTCGCACCTATCGATATCACAGTTCGATGGGTTCGACGTTGGGCATTTTATGCGCGCGCATATTTAAAATTGTTCTGTTAGCTGATAGTAGGAATCAGCAAAACAATGTAAACAAATCTTACTTGATAAACTTGTCAGCTGAAATTTGCCTTCGTTATGGCAATATTTGCTGTAAGAATAAATGTATGCATTTTAATCGTACGAAACTAAATAAAGTGAAAAGGTTTTGACGATCTAATCTCCCTACGGGGTGCACAAACACAGCCAGAGACAAGTTGAAGATAATAAATAAATTATAATACACATAATATAGATACATATAAGCAAGCTGATGTACACACTTTTAATGCCCTGCTCGGACGCGGTCTCGGACCTGGATTCAGTGCCACTCGGTCAGTCAGTCAAACAACTTGAACATCAGCGTCTCTGCACTGCAATTTAATTTAATTAAAACGACAAGTGAAATATTTTTTCGTTGACTCAATTGTGGAGGGCAATTAGACAAAAAAACAAATCTCAGTCACTGTCTATGCGTGGGATGATGAGCGCTGAAAAGGTCGAAATGAAACGCTCCACATCGATGCCAGTAAAGCCAAGGCCGCTAAATCCCAAGCCCTTGGCGCGATCCCCGGAGAAGGAGACAGTCAACGATACTGAAGTCGATTACTATCCAGAAAGTCCGAGCTGCCTGCGCAGACGACGTAAATCCAAGCAGGCAGCTGATCAATTGGAGACGCGCAGCGAACAAAAGTGGGTCAAAATTAAGCAGACAATATATTATATATGCTACTTATATGCCACTTACATAACTACCATAGCTTTCCATATACACTCGACTGGTCGGGCAGCACCATCGAGCTCAGTCCCGATTTGGATGCGGATGGCAGAAGGCGCAGCATGCATCGGGTTATGCAAAAGAATGGCCATGAGAACGTTGTCTTTCGTCGCATTCCGGAGAAATCGTGGCGATATATGCGCGATGCAATTACCACACTGGTAAGATCCGTGTTTGGCCACAAGGCTAGCAACAAGACACAGCAGCTAACGAGCGAACGATCGAATATCTATAGCATAACGCCCAGCATCCAGCGTAAATTGGATGAATTGGCAAACGAATCGCCGACGACAAAACTTAAATATAAGCACATGCCCAAGCCACACAATGGCGAAAGGGAGAAAGTAACATTTAGCATTTAGCATTTAGCATTTAAATTAGCATTTACTAAACAAAATAAACTCACATAATCCAAAATATATATAACAAACATTATTTGGGCGCCGCATTCAAATTCATTCTCATCGATAACTAACTATCTGCTATCGCAAAAGATATCGATTAGTCGATATAAGCATTTTACTCATTCTAACATGTCAATTTACTCACAAACGATAACACTATTGTCACTAACAATATCGAAAATGTCGCCTTCATTCTCACACGTCAATCATCGTCAGCGATAACGTTTGATTTCTGTCAGTTACAAAAGCCATATCGAGTACTCGATACAAGTATCGGAATATGTTTATTCCACACTTCAATCACAGAATTGAAACCGATAAGTATTATCAGATTTAAATTAAATTATTATTCCCCACAGATCGAATTGGATTGGAAATACATGCTTACGATTTTCTTGGGCAGCTACTTTCTGAGCTGGCTCTTTTTCGGTGTCTTATGTTATATGGTCGCTTATTCGCATGGCGATTTTCTTTTCGATGCGGTCACTGGTCAACGGTTAGGCGAAGGCTCAGATCCTTGCATCTATGGCGTACGCACTTTTGTTGCCATGATGATTTACTCGATTGAGACGCAAACAACGCTTGGATTTGGGGAGAAATATGCGAGTGAGGAATGCCCCGAGACAATTTTCTTGTTTGTCATGCAAATGATGTGTGCAGCGGCTATTGAGGGTTCCATGATAAGCATTATCTATGCGAAGACTGCGCGTCCTGCCAAACAGCTTACGAAGCTCAAGTTCAGCGATAAGGCTGTGGTAAGTCCTTTCAACAATATTTGGCATGCATTAGCCATACAAGGCATGTGGAAATGTATTATATTTACAAATTAGCATAAAAACAATCATGCAAAAAAAAAGTGAATAGCCTCGCTCTTATCAGTACAGAAATGGGAACGTAACTGTAAATATTGCATAGCATTTATACACATATACACACATACATTTGAGTGAAGGATTGTGAATGGGGAAAAAATATTTTATGTTCTTACTCTATCGCACTAGGTATTTAATAATAGAACTAACAGTAGGCAACAAATTATATCTTTTGTGATCGATTAACTAGGTTTAAGGCTTGTAGCTCGCAACGAGCAGGAGAGAGCAAATGCAAAGGTAGAAGTATACTGGAAATATGCATATGTGTATGTGTTGAAAAACTTTATTTTGGTTATTCATATACGTATTATTCATATCAAATGTATATACATGGATTTTCTTAGATCTGTTACCGCGATGGCAAGCTGTGTCTGCTCTTTAGAGTTTGCGATCCGCGTGAACAGCAGTCCATTGAATCCAAGATACGGGTCTACATGATCGTGGACAAACAGTGAGCGCTACAAAATAAAACAGAATTTGAAATACTTTAAATAAAAACAATTTCCTTCGGTAGCACTCGCGAGGGCGAGGTCATAAAGACCCACACGGAACTGCAACTCGAGGGGAATGGCGAGCAGTTGATTGTCTGGCCAGACATTGTTTGTCATGTCATCGATGAGACCAGTCCCCTCTTTCCCTTCAACAATGCGAAGCAATTCAATGCAGGACAGTTTGAGCTTTATGTAACAATTGTGGGCACCTCACCAACCACAGCGCAAATGACCGAAGCCAAGACTTCGTATGTGCCGCGTGAAATTTACTGGGGACAGCGATTCGCCAACATTATCCATTACGATGCCACCCATGAGCGTTATATAGTGGACTATGAGAACTTCAATTCGACCATATCGGTGAGTGTCGCACTAGTTGTGAATGCTCTTTAGATTGCTATTAATCCAAATGCCTTATTCGCCAGGTGGATATGCCCGTCAAGTTGAGCCCGGCAGAGCAACTGCAACAGCGACAGCAACAACAACTGGAACTGCAGCACCAGCAGCATCATAAGCAACACCAACTGAAGCTGCAGCAAAGACAGCAACAGCAACAGGAGGTGCAACAGCAGCAAAAGCAACATCAGCAAAGGGAGGACCAACAGCAAATGGAGCTGCAGCAAAAGCAACAGCAACAGCAACTGAAGCTGCAGCAAAGGCAAAAGCAACAGCAACTGGAGGTGCAGCAACAGGAGGAGCAACATCAGCAACAAGAGCATGAGTAGTAACATCAGCAAAGGGAGGAGGAACAGGAACTGGAGCTGCAGCAACAGCTGCACCAACAAAAGCAATAGAAGGAGCAGCATCAGCAAAGAGAGGAGCAACAGTAAGTGGAGCTACAGCAACATCAGCAGCAACAAGTAACATCAATTTTAACAAAACCATTATGCACTGATTTCCCATTTTCAATGGGATCGGGGTATAAATAAAAATAAAAAACTACACAAAACTAGACAATCAATTAATAAAAATAAATTACTTGAATAGTGACTAAACAATTTTTAATACATTAATCAATAATTGAAACATTAATACAAATATTTTATATATTTTGTTACAACAACTGCAGTTTACATACAGAAATTGATTTAACATGAATGAATTTTTTCAACAGCGAACAAACATATAGTAGAATACATTGAACAATAATTTAAATAATAATAATAAAATATATATACCCAAAAAAGTATTGCTTTTTAAGCCGTCTCGTTTAGAAATTTCTGCAATTGTAATTGACAAACAACGAAATAATCAGTTAAATCTCTTAGCCGTGCTTCGATATATGATAAATCAATACACAAATTTATACAAGTTATTTGTAGCTTCCTTTTAAGCATCTTCGCTCTGTCGCTCGTTGAGCAGCTGCTGCAGTTGTTCGCGCAGCTGCTCGTTCTCCTGCTGCAGGCTGGCGAACTCGTGCACAAAGCGATCCTTGCGCAGCAATACATCGAGCGTATCTCGTATCTCCTGTGTGCTGTTCACCTGCTGTTGCCAGTAGTTGGCCATCTCGCTAAAGAGCATAAAGCGCGTCTTTTCATCCGACCATTTGAGCTCTTTTTCCATCTTAACGAAACGTTCGTCCAAGAAATGGAGCAGTTCGGCATGTTCCTTGCGCACGTCGGCTAGCTCTTTTGCCAGATCAGCGTGTTCAGCTCCATCTGTTGTTTCTGTGGACAGTCCACTGGAGGTTTTTGGCAACAATTGCTGTGGTAGCATATCGATCGATTTGTTTCCTGTTACTGGAGTTACATGATGTGGCGTACTATTGCGACTGGCTGGCAGTAAACGCAAGCGTTGCTTCCGCTCGACATCTGCCACAGTTGGATTCTCTTTATCACTGCCAGCACAGCTGCTGGCTACGGAGCAATTGGCCAATTGCAGCTCATGCAGGTGTGCGCTGTGCTCATCTGTCTCGGTAATCCTTTTCAGCTTGGCATCTCCCGAAACATTGCTGCGATCGCGTAACGGACCGCTAAGAGTTTCTGTAATCGAATTAACAAGTTTCAGTTTTTGTATTTTAAGTATTGCTAGTTGGTTATTTACGTTGCAAGGAGTCAACGCTGTCTAGGGAACTCAGACCCGAGCTAGTGGCACAAATGCTTTGTCGCTGTTCTTCGTTATTTTGCTTCGCTTGTAGCGCATCCCAATCGAAGCTATCGCGTCTAGCTGTTGCCGTGGTCAAGCGCGTAGACATGCGATCCAAGCCACGCGGCCGGTGCGCATCCAGAAAATCACAAAATGAATCACGCTGCTTGCTGCTGTAGCCTATGCTCATCGTCGCCAGCTGCTGTTGTGTTTGCAGCAGATTAGCTGCAATGGATTTGCGCAGCTCATCGCTAGGCGTTTGCTCGACTAAAGCGGCAACTGGCTTACCCGCCTCCATGGTCGCGTTACTGCAGCTAGTGAAACTGCTGCTCTGCTGCTCCTCCGTGAGCATGGGCACAAAGGCGACGCGACTGACAGCGCTGCCAAAATTTTCAAATTGTAATCTTGATACATCTAAAGCGTGATGCACTTACCAGCCCTCGTGCACCGGACGCACAGCTAACGGCGATTTGGTGCTGCGCATATCATAGGTAATCAGTTCACCTTTAAGATTGCCAGCACAAAAGTAGGTGCCACATTCGCTCAATGCCCCAGTCGACAGGGGATGTGAATAGGTTAAACGACCCGATGACGACTGCGCCTTATTACGTCGTATATCAAATATATTGATCTTGCAATCGTAGCCAACGCTGACCAGCAGCGACGGCTGACTGCTGCACATGCTCACGTCACGGCATGGAGCATCGTGTGCCTCGCTTATAAGGAAGATATTGCGTTTGGCATGCACATCATAGACGCTAACCGTGCCCTTGTAGCTGGCAATGGCCAAATGGAAACGTTTGCTGGGATGAAAGCGAGCCAGAGTCGTGCTGCAATAGGAAAGATTATAGATTAGATTCAGCTAGAATAAACTAAACGGGTCAAGTTAAAGCCAAGAAGAGCTAGCACATCCACATTGAGTCAATCAGAATACACTTTAGCTAGCTAGGCTTGGAGCATGGCTATCCCACTGGTCTCCCTTGTCAGCAGCTAGGAGAGAGATGCCTTCCCTCACACTCCAAGTTACCCATCTGCCAGTGGATATTTATTAAAACTCCAAACATCTACTCACTGATCATCGATGGTGACAGTTTCAATCTTTTGTTTGGTCTTCGTGCCATAAATATTTATTTTGCCGGTCTCCAGCACTGCGGCTATATAATCATCCGTGCAATTGTAGTCAACATAAAGCACTGTGCTGCGTGATTGATCCGCGGGATATCGGTGAATCAACTCAGCGGTACGAAAGTCGAAGAGCTTAACAAATCCGCTTGATTGACCGATAGCAATTTGATTGGAGGCCGTTTTGGCACAGGACACCGAATAAGCATTTTCTATGGTCAATTTGCGCACGCGCTGTATTTCAGGAGCTGCAAAAGAAAATACAATTAACATGCAAATGGTCATCACAGATTGCGCATTTCACTTATACTGTTTTGCTTCTCCTTTATGCGCATCACCGCCAAGCCCGCCTTTTTGTCCACCTCCACGAAGACGCGTCGCTGCGCATTGAATTGAAAGTCTGTAGATTCTCCATTGGGATGTACAAACACGGATTTCGTTTCCAAATCAGCAAAATCTGATAAAATTGTCTTCTTAGAGGTAGATATTAAATACATCTTTATAGATTTGCCAATAATTCAATTTATTTCAAATGCTCGTAGTTCGCAACGGCGTTACAGAAATTGACGGCTTTTTTTTTATGCTCTCAGCACTAGAGTTGCCAGACCGCGACAAATATTACTACTGGCAAGGGCGTTGATTTGATTTTAATTTGCTTGTCAGAGCTATTGATTTACTTTCTAACTTCATCAAATCTGTTTATATTGAAATATTTAAAAAAAAGAACTGTTAGCCGTTTCCTGACCATTTAATTCAATGAATTGAAAGGTATCTGTTTGCGACTGCGTTTAACTGGTGTTTACCTTAAGAGTTAGATCGTGCAAAAGCTTGTCACAGCAGTAAATATTTCCGTTACACTTTAAAAAACTAAGAATTTTATTTTATATGAATAAATAAATGCGTAATTGCTAAGAGTGTATAAAGCCGGCTACCAGGCCGTCGCGCTTCTTTTCTGCAGCTGCTGTATGATCCCAGTCAACCAATCCATGCTCCTCAAACACAATCGAATTTTGGTTCTCTGGCAGCAATTCAAAGTCCAATGTTGAATCTTCAATCGGTTCGCCACAATCCAAGATAAAGTTGTGTAGCATACATGTGGCCGAGACAACAATGCTGCCCACTTCCATTGTACCAACATCTAAAGATTTCAATCGTCTAAAACGAGACATCAAGGCCGCGAATGCTCGTTCAGCGGGCGCATTCCATAAATGAATAGCCCGATTGTAGCGTATGTGACAAGGCGTCAACTCTCCATTGTTATCTGCATAGGGTGTCATTAAATTGAGCAGCAGAGGGTAGGTCATTTCACCCACGAGATGTTTGTTCGATGGCATGAGCGGTTCCTCCATGTCAATCAGTCTCTCAAACAGTTCGCTCTTTAGCAACACTGAACATTGATTGTCGGGCACATCGATATGGACATCAAGGAAGCGACTCCGTTCATCACAAACTGCTTGAAGTGCTAGCGACGCATACTGAAGATGACCCTGCTCCTCCCGCACGGGCAGTTTTAGTGGTATACGACACTCGTCGATGACGCCGACCACGCCAGGTAGTTGACTGTTGCCACACACATTATCTTTTGGCCATTTCACATAGCAAGGCATTAATGCTGCAAAAGCAGATGTAACCCATTTGAATATTTCGTGGCCGGAGCTCTTGGATATGGCAAAACTGTCGCCCACTTCACGAAATGATTTGCTGAATATATAAAAAATAACATGCATATATGTAAGCTGAAATTGCTTTTAAATCATGATGAATGCCTACTTGCCACTTAGAAGTGTAAGGGTATATAATAATTTCTCTGGCAGGGAAACGCGCGCAATCGGCTGGTGATGTTCCGCTCCGGCTATTGCCTTACCCACAACCTGCAGTAATGTCTGTAAAGCACAAGATTTGCAGTACATAATATATGCAATAAGTGATAAAAAAACTCACCTCAAAACTGCTGCGCTTCATGCGAAACTGTTCTTTGAATTGATCATCCTGAAATCGCGGCAGCTCTTGTCTATCCTCATCTACTTCATTGACAGTATGTAATACACTTAATGTACTCTCAGCTGTAACAAGTCGCACGGCCTCTGCAAGTTGAGAGCCTAGACCTTCGTCCAGAAAGAAATTCAGCATAAACGCTTTGTGAGCGCGTGTATTCATTTTACTCGGAGAATAGGTAAACAAAATAAAAGTAAACACAGATCTAACAGCAACAGCTGTCATGAAAAAAAAAACTAAATAGAGATGAGACGCTGTTAACTCAAGATATATATTATCGATCTATCGCAAGCATTATAATGTGGACATAATACAAATGTATATGGTGATTACATGTAAACAAAAATCAACGTAGAGATGAGACGCTGTCAAAATAGTTCATAAATATCGGTCTATCGCAATGACTTTGCTGTATTGAGGTAATGAAATGTTAATGAGGCTTAAAATATTATAGAAAATGTCAAAAAGAAAGTAAAAGCTGTCATGTGAACTAATTACGACATGGTTTTCTAATTCTAGCTAAGATCGTGAATTGATAATGTAAAATAACAGTTTTTACGAACGTACTACAGTATCAACAGACATTTAAAAGCTGCTTAGTACTAAAATATATCAATAATTTTTCTGTTTTTCATTTAGATAACAGCGCAGTATTTACTGACATAAAACCGTCAGTAATAAATATCAAAATATAGAATTCAAAATAGCTGCAAATATATATTTTTCAAAATTGACGATGGATCGCTGTTAATAACAGAGCAGCAAAATGTTAAGTTTTTGGATGCCAAAAAAACATATGTTAGATGAACGACAATCAGGGGTTCCGTTCGTTCAGTTTATTTAGTGAGTCTTGGCCCGTGCAAATATAAAATAAATTTGCCAATATAAATTATAAAAAAACTTGAATTGCGCACTCGTTTTGCCTACAGAAGCAGGCGGACAAAGGCCAACAGAAAACGCAAAAGCAAGAAAAAAGACACTAACAATAACAGTAACAACGACAACAACAACAACACCTGCTGCAAAATGGAGGCGGAGGGTCTGACAAATGAACAAACGGACAAAGTTTTACAATTCCAAGATCTAACTGGCATAGAAGACATGAACATATGTCGCGATGTACTCATACGTCATCAATGGGATCTCGAGGTAAATGTCGAGGCAATCCCGATTGAAATTCAATTAATAAGCTTATCTGTGTGCAGGTGGCCTTTCAGGAGCAAATGAACATACGAGAGGGTCGACCAACAATGTTGACTGCTTCGACAGATGTTCGTGCACCGGCTGTGATCAATGATCGCTTCCTGCAACAGGTCTTCTCAGCAAATATGCCTGGCGGACGTACAATTAGCCGAGTACCAAGTATCGGGCCAATGCCACGCAGCTTTACGGGCATCCTTGGCTATGTGATCAATTTTGTGTTCCAATATTTTTACTCGACAATATCTGGAATTGTGCGTGCATTTATTAATATTGGCGGTGGCAATGAGCCGCGCATTGTCTCGGATCCGTTGGCCGATGTGATGAAATTTATAAGAGAGTACTATGAACGTTATCCGGAGCATCCGGTCTTCTATCAGGGCACCTATGCCCAGGCCTTAAACGATGCCAAGCAGGAATTGCGCTTTCTGCTCGTCTATCTGCATAAGGATCCAACACAAAATCCTGATGTTGAATCATTTTGCCGAGATACTCTCTCATCGCGCTCAATAATTGATTATATCAACACGAATACATTGCTCTGGGGCTGTGATGTGTCTACGCCGGAAGGATATCGTGTGATGCAAACTATTACGGTGCGCACCTACCCCCTGATGGTGATGATAAGCTTGAGAGCTAATCGTATGATGGTCGTTGGACGTTTCGAGGGCGATTGCACTCCAGAGGAGCTACAACGCCGCCTCCAGTCGGTCATCACTGTCAACGAGGTGTGGCTAAGTCAGGCACGCGCCGATCGACTTGAGCGCAATTTCACTCAGACGCTGCGTCGCCAACAGGATGAGGCATATGAGCAGAGTCTGCTCGCTGATGAGGAAAAGGAGCGTCAACGTCAACGCGAACGTGATGCCGCTCGCCAAGTGCTGGAAGCGGAGGAGCGAGCTCGTCGAGATGTTGAGCTGCGCAAAGAAGAGATAGCCAGGCAGAAGATTGAGCTGGCTAACCTTGTGCCGCCAGAGCCGCCAGCCGATTCCGCAGATGCTATTGCTGTGGTCTTCAAGCTACCTAATGGCACTCGTCTCGAACGACGCTTTCAGCAAACCAATTCCATTTTGGTATATTACATAAAGCTTACTCTTAAAGCTAACTTCATAATTCATTTTATTCTATTTCAGGACGTTTATCATTTCCTCTTTTGCCATCCCGCTTCGCCGGATGAATTTGAAATTACAACGAATTTCCCTAAGCGTGTTCTCTATTCCAAGGCGGCAATCGATGCCGCCGAATGCTCTGTAAATGAAACCTACAGCAAGACGCTTAAAGATGTGGGTCTTAAGCATCGCGAAGTACTATTCGTGAACGATCTGGAAGCGTAACCAAGCCCTACCATCACCAAATAACAAAAAACATAAAAATGAAACATGCAAAGGAATGAACACTGAAATCTTTGTGTTACCAGCTAAAAGAAAACGCATTACCAAATAACTTGAACCAAGTTTGAAGTAGTCGTAGTCCTCAAGTCCAATCCGTTTGGCACATTCGGAGGTTTAAAACAACCAAGCAGAAACTCATAGACAACAACAAATAATTCCTAATTTAATCATGAATATATATAAACAGAATTGTTTAACAATGTTTATGTTGATTTTCGTCTAACACCAATTTTTCCACCTACAAAATTATTTTTCAAACAATTTCCACAATTTTTTTTTTTAGGTTTTTTTTCTAACACAAATTTTGATTTAGCTGTACTTACATTTGCATAATTTAATTTTTTAAATTATATAGAAATGAAGACAGTTTTTCATGACAAAATACAAAATTTTGTAAAAATAATTATTAATCAATTTTATTTGTAGTCGTACAATAAGCTTAAAACTATATGAAACAGGATTTAGTTGGGTGGTAAAACAATTTTTGAATTAAAGCATGAGAAATATAAAATAATACTACAATAGGAAATGAAAGAGATAAAAAATTAGAAAATCAATATTTAGAAAAAATGCAATATTTTTTAAACAACATTGTTAGTTTATAAAATAAAATCAATCACAGTTAAATTTTATAATGTAGAGAATCGATACTTGCTATTAACTTTTGAAAATTATCGATACGTTGACAGGCAAGCCATATACAATATAATGTTATGCTATTTGGTTAATAAATGCTCAATAAATTAAATAAGATCGTTACAAACAATATCAAGTGAACAAAATGCAATAATTTAAATATGTTTTTAAAAACTAACTTTTGTTCAAATTTTAGGGAATAACATGAAATGATTGCGCTTTAATTAAGTATCGATACATTCTGCATTAATAATTGGTAAATTCACTTTATCGATACACTGACATGAACGCAATACTCAACACAGGGTGACGCACGTTCGCCTGTCTCATGAGTCAACTTGTTAGTTATTTGTTGTACTTAATCAAAGAGCCACACACTCAAATTGCGTGTTGAGTGTTGAAATTTGTAAACTATTAAACTGGACAGCAAATATAGTGACTCCGACGAAGATTCCACTTGGTATAGCGCAGACGAACGGGCACGTCTATTGCCCAAAAGAGGAAAAGAATCGAATACTTTCGGCTTGCGGCCCAAAATAAGGCAGCTGGCGTCTCAGCTGTTTGACCTCGAAGAGGTGCAGCAATTAACGCGTGGCCTACGTCAAGTGAACTACCAAAAGCTCAGTCAGGAGTTGCCGCAAAAGCTTAACAATCAAAAATACTCAAAAACAATGTCTTCAGGACCATCAACTTCATCCGTTAGCGATGCGGCTGCAGCGCTCTCCGGAAATTTGCAGCTTCCACCTCTCCGAACCCTAGATGACTTTGTGCTTGGATCAGCGCGCTTTCAGCTGCCCAATTTGAAGGACTTTGATAAGTGGGGCAATCGTGTGGTCAAGAATTTGCTATACTATCAAACCAACTACTTTCTTGTCTTTCTGGCCATCTATGTCATTATGATTGTCTTCAATCCAATGAAGATCATCAGCGGCTTGTTCGTGCAAGCGCTGGTAATCGCCATCATTTGGCAATTCTTTAGCAGCAAATCGAAGACGAATTTCATAGCCAGCCGCTTGACCGGCGGCAATCAGATTCTAGCCCAACAAAATGCGCAACAAAAATGGTACATACTAGCTGCCGGCTTGTTGGGTGGCTATTTGTTTTTGCATATGATTAGCGCCGTTCTGTTGACAGCCTTCACTCTGTTGCTGCCCATTTCGGTGACCTTTATCCATGCCTCACTGCGGCTGCGTAATATGAAGAACAAGCTGGCCAACACCATCGAGAGCTTTGGCCCATCCACGCCAATGGGTTCGCTGTTGGATGCATTGAACGTGCGCGCCGAAGGAGTTATTAATTAAAGCTCGTTGTTGGTCATATTTTGAGAAAATGTGCCCCCTTTTAAATATATGCTTCGATTCACTGTATACATATATATATTTAAATATATTATAATTTGATCTTTTGCTATGTTTAAAATTAATTTCTTACCAATGTATTGTTTTTGCTAATATAAAAGTCAATAAAAATTTTCCCTGAAAGCAAATCGTTAAAAGACAAATTTGTAACGTTCACTCAAAGTTAATATGAACCGAAGGGAAAGAGGACCTGATTGGAGACAGTTTTGAGTATGATTCCTTGACGTAAGACAAGTTCATAAATAACTTCATATTTGAGTTGGGCATGTTCTAAAGAACTGTCTTATTACGGAATAACAGTAGACTGCAATTCTTAACAAATAAATCGATTGTCTATTTCGAAATAAAAAGATTAGATAGCAACACATTTAAAGTCTAATATGGGGCAATCTATAGATATAGCTTTTAATGGCAGAATAAGCTTTCGACATCAAATTGACTTATTGAACTCCAATAGCACCATTTAACATGATCCGAATTGAGATTATATTTAAATATTACAGTTTGGACGATCGAGCTTAAGCAACTACTCCACTTAGGTGGAATCCTCAGCGACATATTGCCTAGTATCTCCAGCAACAAATTTGCATTCATAAGGTTCTCCACCTTTCCTTTAGATTGCAGATAACAATTCTTTTATCACTTCTGCACAGCAGCAGCTTCAGCCGCATCAAAATATCCACTCTTTACATTTACATAAACTCCAATATAAACAGAATAATCCTCTGCTCATCCGTTCGTTAATAGTCAAAGAGGTCCTCAGTAAATGTAGAATCCAGTTAGCAGCTTAAAATTCTTGTTATGCTCTTGCGTAATTGAAGTGTTGCTTTACAATTAGCTAGTGATTGCTGCGAGTTGACAAGCCAATCACAGGGCACTTGATGCTTGGCGGAGCATTTTGGCACCTCCTCCAAATAGTTCACTGAGCAATAGCTATCATCGTGTAGCTTAACAAAATTATGCAGGACTACAGCGGCTCGAATTATCTTCCCTGCATTGCTGGGACTTTGTCGCAGTGGCTCGGTGAGGACACGCCAACGTGACATCAAGACAGCAAATGCCTTATTAATGCTTCCAGCAAGAGCAATTCTTAACTGATGATTGAAATGCCATTGATCATCATCCAGTTGTTGCTCTTGATAAGGCGTAAGCAGCTGCTGCCGCAAAGAAAAGTTTGAGTCAGCTATGAAGCTGTGTACAAAGTTGCTCTGCTGCTCGGTTCCAGGCAAGGGCTCCTCTGGTAATAAGTACTCCAAACTTTGGTTGAGTAACTGACCGCCGAAACCCTGTTGCCAATGGATTTGATTGTTTACAGCATCGGTCACGGTGGCCATATCCATCCATGTGAAGTTTAGCTGTGCATCACAACTGGCCATCAAAACAATATCATTTTCGCTCTTGTACGATACGTCCAGAAGCTTGGCATCCACGGCACCCAGACAATGTGGCATGTGCCACAACTCCTGATATCCTGAAACAATGTTACGCCAATCATCGACACTGGGTTGAGGCATAAATGCGACGGATAACGTATTCCACAGGACTTCGCTCGTCTCTTGCACAATACAACGCACTGTGGAGCAGCCCATTTTGAAGGCTTTCGACAGATCGACCACACGCTCCGCATTGGAAAGGTAGCTGCAGAGTACATTGTTGTAACGGCGACATTGCAGTTATATTACTACTCACACAAGCGTTAGAAAAAGCCGGCATTCAGGTGCTATGGGCCTGCGAATGGAGTTCTTATTCAATTGCTCGCCAACTAAGCTGAACAAAATGTCGAAAGCCTGAGTTGACATGCCGGCTCGTCTACGGAATTCTTCCTGGTTGTGTGTCTTGTAAAAAGTCGTAGCAAAAAGGCCATCAATATCGCGACTTAGATTCTCCTCTTTCACCCAAATTCTGCGTTGGTTGTCTTTGACCTTTTCCACTTCGATGTTCCGCCGCCTTTTACTCGGCGGTGGCGGTATTATTCTTGGCGACAGATTTGGTCGTTTTGTTGGTAATTTGGTCAGCATTTCGAGCGCTTCATAAGCTAAGGGAATGATTTGTTGCAGCCAGTACACCTCTTTGATGTCCATTTTAATTGTAATTTAATTTTAAATGAATTGAATTCTGCGCGCAGCTAACAACAAGAGTCAAGCCTAAAACTCCTACTCGATAGAAAAGTATCGATATTTAGTCAGCTGCTCATCAGCAATCACACCTAAAGTCAAGTGATGACTGAGTGTCAAACTCCTTTGCAGTTGATCTGATTTCGATAGTAAATCAGCTTTTTGAAAATTAGTTTTATATCACTCCAAATTTTTTATCTAAATACATCAAGTAGTTTTTTAAACACATTTTTAAAACTATTTTAAAAACAAATTTAATTAAAAATATAATAGTTAAAAATGGCTCAATTTGGCTTTTTTATTTAATAAAAGATAAAATCCATTTTACCCTCGACCATTTGCTGGATTTCCAAACTCGCTGTTGGTGCGTATTTTAAATGCTTTAAAAATCGAATGCTAGTCATAATTTAGATATTGGTTGTCGCTACGGGATTATAAATAGATTTGCTTCACAATTGTTTCCCTTTGCGCAGAAAAATTAAATTTTGTCACATTTAGCCGCGAGCAGAGAGCCAAGAGATGAAAATTCTGGACTCTCCCGTTGGCTAATGCCTTGTTACTGTTGCGACAAATAAAAAAGGGAAAAGATATGTGCATGTATATGGAATATACAGTAAAATAAATGACATAAGTGCTTTTTTATTTTTGCTTAAAAAGTAAAAAGCGAATTTTCAAATTAGTGCGCATTTGGTAGCTCAAGCGTTTGGTATAATAATTAATAATAATACCTAAAAAATGTTAGAATTAATGCGCAATCAGTGGAGTCTACTACGAGATGTATATCAAGAAGATCGGACAAATCTAACGGGCTACGATCTAATAAATATCTATATAAATTGCAACGATAAAGCGCATGATGTGAAAATTTATACAACGAACAACGATTGGCTGGAACATGGGACATTTGTGCTAATTGTTAGTAATATGTCAAGAGGATATAAACAATTCAAATAAAGATATATTCATATCTTACAGCACGACAATATCAACAAGTTAGATATATATCTAAATACTCTAAATGGCTCTCTCAGAGAACTAGAAAATCTGCTTAGTTCTCTGCAACTGAACGATCGAGCCTGGTTTTTTGGCTATCGGCAGGCATTGAAGTTAACTGTGAATAACTTTTGCCTCGAGAGGGGGCTAAGCTTAAAGAAGTTGGATCAGATGGAAACCTATGTATATTATCTACCTAAAAGAGCTGTAGAATCATTTAATTGTCGGTGAGCTATGACAAAAGTTACTATATGATATATATATATACGATATATGTATATATTCTTCAGCTTGATTGCAGACATATATTTAGCTTCGTTGAGCCTCAATCACGCTGCATTAGTGGATGAACATTGGCCATATCGTTCGTCTGATTCTCTAGCATTGATCAAAGATCGTATACAGAGTTATATAAGCGTTGGCGCATTCGATGGTAATGGTCAACTGTTGGCGTGGTGCTTGAGGTAACACATTACCTATATTTATAAATCACATATAGTAATAACACTTACTTCTTATTGTTCAGATCCGTTCAGGGCAGCCTCAGCAATTTGTATGTTTTGCCCTCCTATAGGCGCCTGGGATTGGCTTCCTTATTAGTGCGTCACATGGCTAAAGAAATTGCCGCAACTGGAGCAGAGGTTTTGGCCACAATTGCCTTTGGCAATGAAATATCTCAGCTATTTTTTGAGAAACTTGGTTTCAAGCTTATCGATAGTATAGTCTTCACCATGGTGCCTGGACTTTGAACAAGCTATATATACACCTTTATATACAGTATAAATGAAATATGAAATACCTCAAAATTAGTTTTTAAATACATAAGTTAATAAACAGAGACACGCACAGCTCAAAGCTGAATGAAATAAAATACTTTATCTTAAATGTAATTATCCTTAATAAAATGTGTGACGTACAAAGTTTAATTCTAAATTCGATTTGCTAGTTATGTTTGAATTTGCGCGTACTTGACAAAACTAACGCGACAAATTATCGATAACAAATCAATCGGTTGACAAAGAAGCAGCGAATTGAAATATGAGGCGAATTATTGTGAAACATAAAGTCAAATTGAATTCTCTAATTTATTGCAACAAATATTTGCACAAACAATTACTAACTACCAATTTAAAATGTTATTTAAATTTGTGCAATTCGCGGCAAATGCAATTACGTTGAGCTCCCACTGCATCATCGACTTATCAGCAAACATGTAGGCCGAAATGCTCTTCTCTAAATTTTAACTGACCTGCCGTACTTCAGCAGCCCGACTGCTCGCCTCAGCTAGCTCGCTTTTTATATATACCACAATTGCACTCAAAATGGGTGTTGAGCGCATGAGCGCTTTTTTGAGTTACTTGTACAACTCGATCTCGCAGAGGAAATTATTTGTGTGCATTGAGTACTAAAGAATACTTAATACAGACAACTAGACAGAGGAACGGACAAGGCTATACCAACTTTGCTCTTCATACTGGTTGAGAATATCATTGTAAACATGATCGTTAATTGCTTCATTAATGTACTGAAAATTCAACCTGAGGTTGTATCCAAGTGAAGGAATTTCGCCTTGAAAACATACACACCTACATATGTAGATACGAGCTTATATAACTTTGTTAGAACTTTACCATGAAATCTAATCTAAATCTACTTAATGAATTTACAGTTCAGTTATGTGACGAATTATCTTGTAATAATTCTCACATTTTAGTCAACGCAAGCAGCCCTGACAGCTGTTCCAATTGCATTGCCGGCTGCATTAGTCGTAAATACACTCATATGCACACACACGTATCTTTAAGAGTTCAGTTGCTAGTGTATGCGGTGTCTAACAAACGTATGTTCAAAGATTGCATACACATGCATTTGATTGTTTTCATTTGACTCTCTCTTAAATTCGTCTATTAATAGAAGCGATTGCGACCACGTCCTGCTCAGTTGTTAGGCAAACTTTGAGCCGTTTAGACATGTTACACATGAAATACAATTCACATTCGCTTGTAGAGATAAGCCGCAGCGAATGGAAAACTTTGTTAGAACTTTACAAGAACAAAAAACATGAATCAAATGGATATAGCCAAATAAACAATTATATTAATTGGGTATCTAAAGATGATAAAGTGGATGTAAAGATATATTCGCTCGATGGCGAATGGCAAAGCGATGGCACTTTTCTAATGATTGTATGTAGACAAAGACAGTACAGTTAAGAAGAGAGTAAAGTATCGAAGAGCGTGCTGAAAATATATTTGTACTTCATTTATTTCATAGGTTAACCATGGCATGGCAATTAAAGAGCTCTCTTTTAATACATTGAGCGAGAACTTTGAGCGTTTGACAAATGCGCTGCTCTGTTTGCTTTCCGAAGCTAACGATGCTTATTTGCTCTCAGCCTATGGACATCGCCTTATACCAGTTATAGATGTCTTAAGAGAGAAATGTAAGAGCATATTAAAGCAAACGAATCAAACAGTCTGGTATGGAGCGAGCAAAGAGTTAGTTGCAAGCTTTACAGCGGAGTAAGTTTCTTTTATAAATTATAGAGAATACAGACAGCTCTATTAACATTTGCATTTTATTTTATTCTTTAGGCCCCCTGCTGGAATTGAGTTGCGTCGCGTGGAGTTGAAACACGCCTCGGCCATCAACGAAATCTGGCCGCATCGTTCGGAAGGTTCAGTTGAATATGTGAAGAGCTTAATAACTTACAATGTTTCAGTGGGTGCTTATGATGAGCAAGGCGATTTGATAGCTTGGTGTTTGAGGTGTGATCGATAATTAATCGAATATACATGTGTACATAAAAAGTTCTTTTATAGATTGCCTAGTGGAGCTTTGGGCGTGCTGCAAGTTTTGGATACCCACAAGCGTCTTGGCCTGGGCAGTTTGTTGGTTCGTTATTTATCAAAGAAAATTTCGGAGCTCGGAGATGAGGTTATGGCACCTGTTGTAACAGAGAATACGCCCTCACGCAAAATGTTTGAAAAGCTTGGTTTTCAGAAGATCGATTACGTTTACTGGTCCTGGTAGCAACAGTTAATTATGTATATATGCAACTCCAAAGAAACAATAGAAAATAGTTTATAACATTATAAAAAATAAATTAAAAAAAAAATTACAAAAGTTGAAAACTGGGTTAAATGTTATTCTATTTTAGGGTATTTCCTGGCGGGCACTGCTGATAATCTCACTTTTCATTGATTTTAATTGAGTTAGGTTTTAATTAAATCTCATTCACACTCTTAAAATATCATGTTTTGTTTTATTTTGTAATTGTTATTTATGTAAAAAAAATCTAAAAAATAATTCGTTTAATTACAAGCACATATAGTAATTAAATGTAGTATAAATTAAATAATTAACTAATTGAATAACTAAAATACATATATTAAGTTATGTATCCCTATTTGTTTTCCAGTTCGGAAATTTAATAATATTATTTTAAATAATTTTCATTTGAAAAAAAAGATGGAAATTGATTTGACGTACGTAAAAAATTTACCAGCTATATAATCAGTCTAGACGTGTGCTAAGGAGCCATACTACAGCAAGATGACGGGGGAAAGGCCCGCAATATCTCAAAAAGCAGTTCGAAGCAAACTTTCCCAGTGAACCCCAAGCAAAAGTATGACGAATCTCCGGTGTATAAATCAATATGCATTCATATGAGTATGACTATTCTTAATATTGTCACAAACACGAAATTTTTGAATATATTATAGGAGTAGACAATATATTTACAAAAAATCTCTAAATATTTGCTCAAATACTTAGTGTCAAAACAGATACGTTCAAGAGAGCGTATGATATTAGTATTCGAGTCACATTGATGGGAAGTTGATCAGCTAAGAGCAGTTTAGCGAGCGCACAACTAGAGTATACCCTACACAGAACTCACAGCTTCATTTGCCTGAATCGAAATAGTTTCCACATTTTCGAAACTAGTCGCGCCGAGAGCCGAAACAATTTATGTACCGAACAGGACCGGTATACAAGGGAGCCAAAAACATATATAAAATATACAGTAACGTCTGTAAAGTTAGTATACTCACATACCTCAAACTGTAAAACTGGCTCATGAACTGAACTTCAATGCATGTTGTTGGTTTGAGTCATAAGCGGAACCACTAACAATTTAACAGATCTGCTAACAGCAATTAGATTCTTTATGTAATCGCCCAATCGATTAATAGGTCTGTTGCCATACTACTCATGCTTGAACTAACCGTTACGAATTACATACATATGTTGCTATTTACTTATGTGTGTAGCATACCCTTTCTTAACCTTTTTATGAGTATTGAATATTAAAAGATATACGCTAAAGCGAAAGATATCACTAAGCGCTTATTTTATTCCGGAATACATAATAGAGAGAAAGAGAGAGTGCGTATAATACTTGCTGATAGATACTTAAGAATATACTAGATATATAGATTAATATTTAGACTCGATATTTAATTGGATCAACTTTTTAGTGATGCACAATCTAGCGTAGCGCATGTCAGCAGCATGTAAACAATAACGGGGTAAACCCAATGAATGCAATGAGTTGTCATCAAAGAGTGCGCTCAGAGAGCGTCAAAGTTGAGCGGACGCTGAGAGAGAGAGGAAAGTGTGTGTGTGTATGTGTGTGAAACGGAAGGGGTTGACATGCGACTGGGCTTGGATCGCACTTGTGATAACGAGTTTTATTTTTTTCGCATCAACCTATAAACTGTTGTGCACAAAGTGTGACAAGCTCAGTTTAACAGCAGCTTTAAAGGCGTTAACATCGCGTGCTACACATACATACATATTTTTATACATATATTTATATATATATACATATATAAATAATTCGTAGCAGAAGATAAGCATAAATTGTCACAATGTTACGTTCGTTGTTTTTGTTGGCCTTCGGCTGCCTGTTTGCCATTGGTAATTGCGATCTGGACTTGTGGCGCGATGTGCGGAAGCCTGAGCATCAGGCCCTGTTGCAGAAACTAAATGAGGCACGCTCGACATCCGCGCCAGCATATTTAGCCCCGACGCAGCCTCCGTCGCAGTTTTCATCTGGCTTTGCCGCTTCGGCTCAGCCTGCTGGTCCCTTGCCGCCACAGTTTTCGTTTGACCTTGGCGTTTCGCCGCAGCCTGCTGGTCCATTGCCGCCGCGAACCGAATTCGCTGGCTCCAGTTCTGGTTCCAGTTCGGGCAATGTGGATGTGGCTGCTTCGGATGACATTGCACGCAACATACTCACTTTCGCGCAAAATCTCTCCAATCAGATCAATGTCAACTATCGAAAGACAATGATTTTTTCACCACTAAGCATCGCATCTGCTCTAGCGTTACTGCTGCTTGGCGCCAAGGGACGAAGCTATACGGAATTGGTCGCGGTTTTTGGCCAAACAGATATGGTTAAACTTCATGAACAGTTCGGTTTGATGTTAAGGGATGTGCAGCAGCCAACGAGCCAGACAATATCACCAGTGCGTCAGCTAGATGCGTGGCACAGTAACAGCCTGCGCCGTAGCTTACGCAACTATCCGCGCAATCGCCATGCCCCGCAGGAGGTGCATGTGGCCAATGGGCTCTTCGTTAAGTACGGCTACAGCTTGAATCCAGATTACAGGTAATGCAATTCAATTCTCAATCTACATTGGAGCTTATATAGTTCCGGTTTTTCTATAAATATTTATTAATCATTCAATAAATGAACGTAGCTCTAACTAAAGTACTTTAACTCGTTTTGCATCAAAAATACTTTGCAATGTAACGGATATCACGATTCTGCCTGCTAGGAATGTGTAATTTTTCGATAACAAATATTAGATATCGATTATTTATAATTGTATATTTCTCCCTTACAGACAAGCTGTCGTCGGCATTTACAAATCGGAATTTCAGACGCTCGATTTTGGTAACAGTCCAGCGACAGCCAAGTATATTATAAACTCGTGGGTTGAGCATCAAACTAAGGGCAAAATCGAGAATATAATTGCAGATGATTTGCCGCAGGATACGCGCATTGTAATGGCAAATACCCTGTACTTTAAGGCCATGTGGGAGATAGACTTCATAGCAAGTGCTACGAAAGTCGAAGACTTCTATCCCAATGGCGAGGGCACTCAACCCGTTATACCCGTCGATATGATGGTCGGTGCCGGCGCCTTTCCCTACCACGAGGATCAACAGCTTGATTGTCGGATTATTGGATTACCTTATCACGGCAATCTGACCACAATGTATGTAATCCAACCAATGCGCTCATCCGTGGAGCAATTAGCATATTTGCAGCAAAGACTGAATGCGGATGCAATTGAGCAAATGATTAGCCAGATGACGAGGCGATCCACAATTGTAGCATTCCCCAAAATGCATCTAACAGAATCCTTTAAGCTAAACAACTTGTTGCAAGCGATGGGCATTGGCGGAATCTTCAATCCAGTACAAAGTGATCTCTCATTAATTGGCACAAATGATCCAACTTCCCAGACTGTTCAAACTGGACGCAGTTACTCAGATAGCTTGCAACGTTTGGTGGCACAACGTCAGTTGGCACAATCAAGTCAATCACCCACACCTCCCTCTGATCTCATTGTGTCCGATATTCTGCATAAAGTGGACTTTACGGTCAATGAACAGGGCACTGAGGCGGCAGCTGCCACGGCGGCTATACTGAAGAAATCAGGTCCCGAGGTTCTGTTCCGTGCGGAGACACCTTTCATAGTGCTGGTGCGTCACGATCTGACAAAGCTGCCATTATTCTATGGCATGATCAATGAGCCACCCACTGCCAAAGCGAGTTCAATGTATAAGAATTAGAGACTAAAATAAATTCATAATTAGAAACTTAAGTAGTTAGCAATAATAATTGAGTATATGTATTTATAAAAGTTACTTTAATAAGATTGTGCGTTTATAATTATAAAAGATGTTCCACAATCTGCCTTGTGTACATACATATATAATTGCTCCTATTAAACTAATGAAATAAATAAAAAATAATTATAAACTAAAAAACACAAAACAAATTAAAAAGTTTACTTGAAATAAAAAACAATTTTATAATACCGAATTTAAAAACGAGCGCGTTCAAATCGATAGCTTTGAAGTGCAACTCTTATCGATATCATTTGCGCGCACTGTGAATGGCTAATTTTGCCGCCTCGGTCTGCCCTAACAAACAGCTGTAAAAAGCGAAGTGTTCTTTAAACTATAATTTAATTATATACATATACTTTTGTCAAAATGATGGCAATGCCTGATTCGGATTCGGAGGATGAGTTGCCGCCTGGCTGGGAAGAACGTGCCAACGACGATGGTGTCGTTTGCTATGTCAAGTAGGTCTTCAAATGCACCTCTTAAAGAACAGTAATTAACATATTTGATTTCCATTATGCAGTCAACAAAGTAAGACAACACAGTGGACACATCCGCGAACTGGACGCTCAAAACGGATTACTGGCGATCTGCCGCTGGGTTGGAAAAAATACTACGATGAGGAAAGTAAACGTTTTATGTTTCACAACAAGGAAACAAATCAGCGAACAAATATTGATCCACGTCTGGCATTTGCTGCGGAGGAACCGACACTAAATATCACTCAAGTGCGTCAGCGTTTCGATTCGTGTAGCACGGCGTTGCAGATATTGCATGGAAAAGATTTGCATGGCCGTTTGGCGCTCATTACGGGAGCCAACTGTGGCATCGGTTTTGAGACGGCCCGTTCATTAGCTCTACACGGCTGCGACATAATTTTTGCGTGCCGTAATCCAAGCTCAGCAGCGGAGGCCATTGAACGCATTGCTCAGGAGCGTCCAACAGCCGGTGCCAGGTGTCGTTCAGTCGCCTTGGATTTGGGTTCACTGCGCGCTGTGCAGCAATTTGTAGCGGAAATTAAGCGGAGCGTTGGGTAGGTGTGGCAATTACCGACTGTTATCGACTTCTTAATATTATAATTTAATATTTCAGTCACGTCGACTATCTTATATTGAACGCTGGCGTCTTTGCCTTGCCACATACCAAAACTGTCGATGGACTCGAGACAACATTCCAAGTATCCCATTTATCGCATTTCTATTTAACGCTGCAACTGGAATCACTATTTGATCATCGTACGCGTATTGTTGTACTTTCATCGGAATCGCACAGGTAAATAGGTCTAGTTGTGTGATTAAGCATCGTTCAAAAACTGAGCGGTACGTTTGAATGACCGTCCCTGTATTGTAATTCCAACAGATTCAAAATAGCTAAATAACCAATTGATATATAACTGTAACATCACCCTGTACATTTAAATGGCAAATAGGAACATTTAAATAGACTCCACTGTAACACGATGTTTGGTTCGTAACAGCATCACGTGTCTTAGCTCATATTACACTAGGCATATTATAACGACCACCACTGTATTTGAACTGAATGAACGAAATTCCGCTTTGCGTACATGGTACTAGGTCAACTTAAATGACTGGCACTGTTTCGCTTATAATCCAACTGCATTTGGCATTATTTGTTTGTAGCAAGTTTATTGCACTTATCGTTTGGACTTTGGTCCGGCTCGAATCCGTCTTGTTTTTTGTTTCTTTGCGTTGGCGTCCATGCAATTTGCAACTAAATTATAAATAAACGCAATGCATTCAAAGCAAATAGTTTGTATATAAATAAGCTAAAGGGTGTTCAACTTAGCCCATGTACATACATACATACTATTGAAAATACGAAGATATATTTCAGAAGATTTTCTAATTTCCTAAAATTATTTAGGTCTCGCTTATGCTTCTTCAGATAATGACCTTGGAAGATCTGTTTGAATTAACTTTTTGTTACGACCTCGACTTCAAGGCGAAACGCAATTGAACTCCGCACTTAAATCTGATTTGTTTACAATTTTCTATTGCGCACACATTGACATATGTGGAAACTACGTCATAAATGTGCTGCCCAAGCAATGTAAACAGGGAAATCTTGTTCAATGTAATTTGAGTATTACTAGTTGTTTGTCAACCTATTTTATTTTATTTTAATGAATTGGTTCCGGTGTCCAATTGCTAATTTTGGGCAAATGGTGGCGATCGCAATATTGAGTAACACAGATTGCTCACACATTTATATGTATGCATAAACACACACACACACAAGCTCGTATGTGTCTGATCATATCAGCTGAAGCCACATACGTTCAATTCACGTGCTGCGCACAGTGGTACACAGACCATACTTAACTGCTGTCCAACTTTTTGGTTTCATAAAACAACATCTGGCTACACTGTGTGTATACGTATGAGAAGATAAATCAACAAAACTCGCGTGAAGCGACGAACCAACGAACAAAAAGTAATTAAAGTGAAGTTGTGGATTGTTGTTGGAGGTGGTTTTTGCAGCTGCGTTGCTTCAGCTGATTCTGTGTTCGTTGCTTCCATCACGTATAACATTTGTTGGCTCTGTCTTTTGGGTATTTTTCTGTATCTCATGGAAGCATGCAGCAAAAGTCGCGTGCGCCAATTGTGTACTCACTAAAAGTCATGTATGCCAGCCATGGCACACACACGAACATATCATATCTATGTATGGGGTATGCTGTTAAATTGTGTCTTTGAGCATATCTGTACATGGGCTTTAAAATATGTGTGTTTGATGATTAATACTGATTTTCTATTGGGGTCAGAACACACAGAGCGATAATGATAGGCGTTCGTTGCATGGCCAGGGCGTCAAGATGTTTTCTGCTTGGGAAATAATTCAAATTAATTAAAATGATTGCTATAAGAAAAAAAGAACAAATGATAATGATAAATTAAAGTAATTATAAATATGCATTATACAAATATTAGTATCAGCTATATTTGGAGATTTTTGAAGTACATCCCCGGCAAACTACAGAGCAAACGAAAAAACAGATTGTATTTTTTGCAGTCCCACATTTGCATACATACATATGTTCCCATATATATATGCAGCTAACTGCGTAAATATGTGTGTTCTATCAGGGCGGCATAATAAAAAATAACAAATTCAAAGTCCACAAATTGCGCGCTTTGCTTTGTTACATTTAACATTTCGGCATTTGCGAACTGCACATGCGCTACACACTTCTGGACGACAGAATAATACAATAAAGTTCAATATTACACTGTGTATTGTTGTACAATGGCTTTGTTGACTCTGTTCTAGGTGGTTATTCATGTGTAGGCGCCTTAGTCACAGTCATGGCCTGAGCTTTTGTTTCATGGCTTGAGGTCTGCATCTCATTAACGAGCGTTGAACGTCGCCGCACAAACAACAACAAGAATAACAACAAAAATAAGAACGATAAAGCCAATCAAGTCTCGTTTGCTTCCAGCAAAGTGGTGGGTGCAAAGTCCAAAATGTGTTCAACTGGATGATGCCACAATGTTTATGAAAATACAGTAAAAGCTGAATTGAGCGAATATTGACTTCGAATTAACTTCAAGAAACAATTTTTTAAAATTTTACATATAAGTGTATGTAAATCTTTTCATTTTATTTTTAGAAATGTTTATAGATCGCTTCATTTCTTTCAAGCCAAATATATTCGGCTGCTTCGTTAGACTGGACAGTTTACTGTACGCATACATAGTCGTAAGCCGGCAATGTACAGCAAAACCAAAACAAATATGCAAAAAGCGGTCCATAAAAACAGTAAACAATTTTTAAAACTGCGCGTCAAAAATAAACTTGAATTCCCCTCTCAACATAACTACTCTTCTCTCTCCCGCCTACATTTACAAATTAGCGAATCTGCATGTGAAGTAATAGCATATGTAAATCTGTCCCTCTCCCTTCTATTTACTGATTTGCGAATCTTCATGTATATGTATCTATCCCTGTTGCCCTTTCTTTTACAGATTTGCCAATCTGCCAGTGGAGAATTTAACGGTACAGCATTTGTCACCGCCAGCAGAAAAGTATTGGAGCATGATGGCTTATAACAATGCAAAGCTGTGCAACGTCTTGTTCACCCAGGAGTTGGCAGAAGTGAGTCATGAACTATTACTTATTTAATTGATGTGTAATCAACGACCTAATTTCTCAAAAATATATCCATGATAATGTTTTCAGCGGTGGAAGCAGCGGGGCATATCTGTTTTTTCGGTGCATCCTGGGAATATGGTTTCCACGCAGCTGTCACGTAATTATTGGTTTTATCGATTGTTATTTGCGGTTGTGCGACCCTTTACCAAGTCCCTGGTGAGTACTCCAACTTGGACTTGAGACTTTCACTTGTCAATTTTGGTCCACCAACAGCAACAAGCAGCTGCGACGAGTGTTTACTGTGCCACAGCCAATGAGTTAACCGGATTGTCAGGATTGTATTTTAACAACTGTTACTTCTGTGACCCAAGCAAATTGTCCAGGAGCGGTGCACTGCAGCAGCAGCTGTGGGCGCTTAGTGAACGGCTGATACAGGAGCTGTTAATGGAGCATCCAACACAATAATATACTAAATTTGTTGTAGCTATCTTTTTAATACTTATTTTTAATTATTATTTTTTTTTTGAGTATACAATTTGTTTTGGTGTTTTTTCCTTTTATCTTAAATCTAAACAATTGTTAAAAAACCTAACTACGTGCTAAGGAACAGTTTTTGTGCTGCACTGGGACTAGAAATCGGAGACGCGTCCTTTGCGCTCCCAATCGCCGTAACGTGTTGGCTCCGGTCCAGCGGGTCCGCCAATTTCGCCTGTGTAGGGATTTGTCTGATTGGGCCATGGCTTTAGTGGCTCCTTCTCCTGGTATGGATGACGTGAGAATTCATCCAGTTTGCCCAGTGGCGTCTTAGCACGCAACTTCTTCTGAAAAGCCATGAACTTTTCAGAGGTTGTCTTTGTCGGCTGCTTAATCTCGACAACGTTGTCGTTGCTGCCAATGACGGCTCTGCAAGCGCTGCTCGTCGATAAGTAGGTCACTATTTCAAAAATAACGACAAATATTACAAATTAAAAATGTGTGCAATTAAAACAGACTACACACACACACCTTGTTTGCCCATTTGTGGCATTGCCCTCAGCGTTTGTTTTGCCATCGACTGCATTTTGGTATTTTTTTTTGGAAAGTTAAGTTATGATCTGTTCTTATTTACAGTTATTGAAAGTACCGGTAACTGCGTTTAGCTTTGTTGTTGCGGTTGTAATTGAATATCGCACTGTTGTTGACACTTGCTCGGCTCGTGCTCGTTTGTGGCAACTGAACTGTGGCTCGTTGTTTTTATAGCGCTGCGAGACAACGCGATACCGTTTTTATTTTGTAGCTGATGCTGCGGTTGCGTTGAAACCTGCACGTTCGGATTTTTATTTTTTTCGTGGTATGTTACGTATTGCACTAGCATAACGATATTGATAACACAAGATTTATCGAAATTACGTGACGATAAACGTATTAGCCCATGAGTTCTGGGAAGTGACGTCACTACTTGCTGCTATATGCACAAATAAACGTTTTAAATATGAACCACATATAAATAGCTACAAAAATATTATCCAATATAAATGAACAACGAAATCAAACTAAATAATTAGTTATGGTATTATTATTGTATTCATTTTGGGAAAATACCAAAATTTCGACGAAATCTTCTAATCGGAATATCCATTAATATATCGATTCCTTTTTATAAGTAGTACATCGATATAATTTAATATTTGCATGTTGCTTTGTAAGCAATTGTCCGCATTGTTTTTTTAATTTTTGTGTATTGTACGTTTTACATTTGTTTTAGTTTGTAATGTTGCCGAAGACGCCAAAACCTGCACTTTGGAGATTCATCAAGAATAGCGCCAAGACATTATTTGTACTGGAGGCCGTATGTTTTGCTGCCAGTTACGGACTCTACTACCGCATGAACACAGATCAAGGTAAGTGGCACATTGTCTTTTACATAAGCTTCCGTCTAATCGTTTACACACAGATTTTCGCCGGTACATTAACGAAAAATATCCCTACGCTCTTGAGTATTACTATAAAATAGGTGAAATTGTTGGCGACAGTAAGGTACGAGAAGTAGATGCAAATTATTGGGCGACAACAGCGGAGCAATTCAAAAAGGAATAAACAGAAATATACTGATCACTGATTACCGATATCCGATGGCTAGCAATCCTTATGTTAAATCTGTACTTTTGCTGCTTGGCTTCGGCGGCATTGGTTATGGGCTAATGTTACTCACTGAGCCGAGTGCCGAGAAGTTGGAGCGCATTAAAGCATCGGGGTCGGCAAATATGGATCAGCAAAAAAAGGCATTATTTATGCAAAAGCTGAAGGAAGCGGCAACAACGAGTACGCCAATATACAGGCAAACAACAGATGCAGATAAAAAAGATAACTAAACTAAGGTTATTTGTAATTTAATTGTTATAAAAAATGTTATAGAAATACAAATTTGAATTAGAATATTATTGAATATTCGCTCAACATATATATGAACTTATGAATAACAGAAATTATTTAGATTAAAAAATGATTGAAAGAGATTTGTACCTAAGTATAACATGTTTTGGTACATTTGTATTTTGTTCATCGCTTCCAAAGTGTGATATCGCATCCCTGCTTACAGTACAAATCGATATTAGAGTTTCTTATTAAGGCTCGATACATTTAGAGGCTTAATTAGCTTCACTATCGATATATTTTTAGGTTTAAACAGCAACACATCGCCATTCAGTTAAAGAAAAGAAATAAAACAGGTCAATAAATATGTCCACTGACAATGTACCTCTATTATCCGTTAATGTGCCGTCTGCGGTGCAGTTCGGCGTTAGCAAAGAGTTTCAACGACACACCGAACAAAAAGATTTAGATAGTGCATTTCTGGGCTATGAAAGACGTCCGTGGATGCACGCAAAGCCTAAGTCTAATCTCCACATGGAACGCGAGGCGATAATAGCTCTACTTGCCAAATCCAAGCAGGATTATTCGAGCAGCGATGACGTGAACAAACTGCTCGAGGAGCATATTAGCTTTCGTGATTTGGCGTCACTCACGGATGAAGACCTAGAACTGTTTGGCTTTACAGCGAAGAAGGAGCGTACAGAATTTCTCAAAATGTTCGCAATGATGCCCAACCAGGATCCTAGTTATGAATACATTTGCCAATCGAAAGCCGCGCACGGCTATAATAATCAAATAGTTGGCAATGCAGCCAATCACATAATGTACCTGCGCTCCTCCTTGGCAGCCACTAATTATAAAATGCAGGTTCTGCCGCCAGAGGATTTGATAGTAGGCGACAAACGCTATGCGAGTCGCTTTGCCCTAGAAGCCTTAAATAGCGTGCAAACAATTTCGGAGGAGCTAAATAAGGATTTGCGTAAACTGCAGCAATTACAACTGGCCAAGAATTGTATACAAAGTGAACAGCAGGCGAGCGACTCTCCCGCCAAGGAGGTGAGCCAATAAATAAACAAAACCAACTGATATGAAACTAATTATATTTATATATATATATTCAAAACATAGCGCAATCTTAAGCTTCTATACTTCACGGCCATTGCCTTAGGCACAGCTTGCGCCTGGTTCTGGTGGTGGTCGAAACGCAGTCACAGTCCTAATCTAGAGAACATTTCAGTAAAAATCTAAGACATTCCGTATTATATTTACATATATATATACGAGCGTCGTTTGTGAAACTTCTTATCGGAGTAAACTCACAAAGTGTTGGGAGATTAATTCTGTATTTAGTAGAACATTCTGTACTCGAAATTTGTAGACTGTAAGCGGATTCCATCTTAAAAGAAATATCTTTCATATTCAGATTTTGAGATATATACAAATGCTTACTGTAGCAAGCATGCCCCACTCACAGACTTTGGAATCTCTTAGCTTAGTTAAACTTTTTAGTATATATACAATGTACTTATTTATATTTAATTAATGTAATAAAGAATATTCTGAAAAATGCGCTATCAAAAGTTGGCATTTTTCTGACTTCTTCCGTATGTTCTACAATAAAAGTATTAAAACAAGTTTCAATTTGAATGATAATAAATAAGTTAAAATCTCAAAAATATGTACATTACCTATTTATACATTATTTGCAGAGACTAGACTCTCTTCCAAAATAGCATTTAGGTATTATTAAAAATGTTACAAATTCAATATATTTATATTATTCTTAAGATTTAATATATATTATCAAATTAGCTTATATATATAGTATCAAACATTAACTTTGTTATGACTTAATCTCCTCTGCAAGCAGCAGAAATACCAAATTTACGTAAGCATCAACATGTTCAGGAAACTCCCACTCAGTAGTGTAAGCCATCAATTGGGCTCGACTAGTGGAGTGAGCAATGGTACCTAAAATCAAATATAAAATACGTGCATAAATAAATATATTTATGTATATTTATTAAAATACTGCTCTCAGAAGAGGTGCATATATACACACATACAAACAAACACGCACTCTCTCATAACTAGTAAATTGCGTTACTTGATGTGAAGAGAGTTGATCTAGAGTATGTGGTATGTGTAATATATGCAATGTAATATATTGTAATAGTGTGAGTAATTTGAGTTATTACTTACGCATCACATGTTGTTTTACCAACGATTCTTTTTTGTAACGTTTTACCAGTTCCTCGGTAAAGGATACGAATTCCGTTAACTTCCAAGTTCTATAAAATAACACATTCGATGTGATGCCCGCTAGCAAAGTTAGTGCACGCAGTTGTCGCAGGATCTCACGCGTGTTTGTAAATATATCAACAAATATAGATGTTATAATGGCCAATTTGTCACAGCTCTTATGCAGATCCTCTGGGTAGTAGCCGCATTCTGCACTATCGTAGCATCGCGTCTTTTTTGCTTCAATTGCGTAGCAGAGCGATGTGCCGCGCTGTTGAGCCATTTGCCATTTGGCATAATTATTTTGCAGATCGGTTACTAGCACTTCCAGTTTAGCCTTACAACTGGCTAAATTGGCATCGTGCTTGATCGCTGGAGATTTCGCGCGGCTGTCAACATCTAAAAAACAAGATGTATATTAATTTTGTGTGGTCTTTGCCGTATTCTCAGAACTTACAACGCACAGGCGTTAAAAACGAATTCGATTGGTTCATTTCAGTTGTAAAAAGCTCGATTTACCAAATTAATTTTTTAATAAAATAAATGCATGCCCAAAATATTATCGAAAAGAAACGAAGTGAAATTTAATTCAACAACTCAAACAGCTGACATCTGTCGATGAAAAAATATATAGTTATCGAAATGCAAAAAATATTAAATTTGAAAATGACAAAATTATTGTGAAAAAATAAGTGAATTTTATTATTATTTTATTATACTTATTTTATGTATATCTCTTACTTATTTAGCCAAAATACAATAAATTACGAGAGAAGAAGAAAGGTCACTTGAATCATATATCAACTGATAATTGGTTCCGTGCCGAGTTTGAGCTTGAGACTACCCCAACAACCGATAGTTATCGGCGCCTGTAAGCTCTCACACACATACTCAAAGTGTCAAAAAAGTGCCGGTAATCATTTTCAGACATTTCCAAAATACATTCAGTCGAAGTTAGACGTAAATCGCTGCAAGTAAATAAAATTTTCTTGAAATCAAAATGTCGACCTGGACACCATTGGAATCTAACCCGGAGGTAATAAATCTACTTATCTGACTTACTTAAGAATCGTTTGGTTTTGCTATACATTACCGCAACGCAAAAAGTTTCTTGGCATTTGATTTGCAATTCGTCGATTTAAAAGAGACGCCATGTTGATTGCTCGTAACCCATTCCCAGGTGCTGACCAAATACATACACAAGCTGGGTGTGTCGCCATCCTGGGCAATTACTGACGTCATCGGTCTGGATGAAGAATTATTGGCAATGCTGCCTCAACCCGTGAAGGCGCTCGTTTTGCTCTTTCCCATTAGCGATGCAGTTAAGTTGAATTCAAATTTCTTGATTTGCATTTATTGATGTCTAGTCTCTGTAGTATGAAAAGCATCGGGCTGAGGAGCACGAGCGCATCAAGGCGGCAGCTGAACCTCTAAAAACTCCAGCTGATCTTTTTTATATGCGACAATTTACACACAATGCCTGCGGCACTGTTGCCCTCATCCACAGCGTGGCCAACAACAAGGAGTGGGTGTCTAATAAAATCCTCTAAGCTTACGCTTATTTATATATCTGTCTATTATAGCATTGACATTGGCGAGGGCGTCTTGAAGAACTTTTTGAAGAGCTGCGCCGGTTTGTCACCCGATGAACGTGGTCAGGCTTTGGAGAAGGACAAAGCCTTTACCGAGGATCACCAGATGTTGGCACAGGAGGGTCAAACCGATGCTGGTGCCTATGAGACTGTGATCCATCATTTTATTTCACTCGTCAATATGAACAACACACTATACGAGCTGGATGGACGCAAATCATACCCCATCGATCATGGCAAGACATCGGATGAGACTTTCTTGGCTGATGCTGCTAAGGTGTGCAAGGAGTTTATGGCCCGTGATCCGGATGATATGCGTTTCACTGTCTTGGCTCTAACTGCTGCGCAGGAGTAAAGAGACAAGGTAGAAAGCGATTCACATCAAATATTTATATATGATCTCCGATCGAATACATAAACCATAACTAAACTTATTGTAACCATTTGTAAGGCCAGTAGAAGCTCTGCTGGTCATGTTTGCTGGACATATAACAAAATTAATCTATGTATATCTATATACATTATTATATGATCTCTGATCGAACGCATAACATATTCCTAATTTAAACCTTTGTAAAGCCTCTGCTGGCAATTGAAACAAAATTTTGTCAAATGCATACTTAACCAAAAAACGTGTATTTTAAATGTTGAAGTATTTGTGAGTCGAGTAGCTGGCCAGTTGCTACTGCTCCGATATATAAACTAAATCTCCTATTTCAACCGTTTTGTAATGCTTACCTGCCATGAAACCAATATGCTCATATAAATTTTTATATTTCATACAAAATGTATTTCAATGAACTGAGCAGTGCAGCTGTTGTTTTAAGCAGGCTTCACTGTGGTGGTTAAGTTACTAATGCTGCGCTACTAAAGCAACAGCTGTTGGCCTTTGGCGACGTCGACTGCGCATGCTTCTTCATTTGGTTACGCTCCACGTAATTGTTTGACAGTTGACCAGACCGAAACATCACTGGCATTGTTTTTTCTTCGATTATAAAATACATAAATATAAATTGGTTGTAATAAACATTGTAAAGATATTCAGGAAGCAGAACCCTCCAGTGTGCCCCGCATTAGAGCAGCAATAGAGAGACAAAGGGAGAGACTTATGAGTGGTCGATTTGATTGCTCGGCATTATGAAGCTGCTGCTCAAGGAGCTGACGCGTTTAACCACGCAGCATCGCACCTTCTATTGCTACATGTTGCTCAGCATTTGGATATTTTTGCTAATTGCAGGTAAGCTAAATCCTAGATACTATTCTTAACGCTTGGGAATACCATTCTAGTTAGTTTTATAGCAACTTAGTAGCCAGTTAACGGTCTAATCAGACCCCAGTTAGATTCAAGCACGTCTTTACGGATTTCCACTTAGCTTTTATAGATGGTAGTAAGTTAGAATCAAACTAGATTTCAAATTAGATACCAGTGAGATTTCCAATCAGATTAATCTTTAACTCTAAAAAATTCTCTCTTTTACAGGCATGTATCGCTATATGGGCAATGTGGAACGTCTGGGCAATCCGGGCAGTGGCTTTGGCATAGGTACTGCCAGCTCAGGACTTGGTCCAGGAGCTGGTGGGAGTGACGCCGCCAGCAGCGCTCAGCGTTTTGCCAAATATCGTGAACGCTGTGCCCCGCTCAATCAGCTAACGCGCTTGGATGATGGAGGCATACTGGAGGGTTGGAAGCTACAAGGAGTGCTCCTGGTCATACGACATGGCGACCGTGGAGCCATGTCTCATGTGCATGCCAATGGCATCAATTGTGGCGTGCCAGCAGATGGAGACAGTCTGGTCAACAGGTGCGCAAATCCAACTTCAACTGCAATTAGAATCCATCAATTCCAATTGGACAAATTCCATCCACAGATATCGCAGCTTTCTACAAAACTCGAGCAGCTCTGCATCCGGCTCGAATCATTTGTACTGGAGCAAAGTGGGTCCATTTCATGGCTTTCCCTTACTGCCCGCCACAGAGCGCGGCTGCCCGCTGGGTCAGCTAACCTACAAGTAAGTTGCTTTGGTGGAGCACAGGCGAGAGAGCGAGAGAAAGAGATAGAGATAGAGATAGAGGATTGGGCAAGGCAAGGCAGACGCTTTAGAGGTTTGATGACTGTTAAATGGGGGAGTGCAGTAAAGGATTGGCAGCTGAGAGCAGTAGAAAGAGATTAGCTGCTTAAGGGAGATTTAGTTTAGAGGCAGCTAAAAGAGGAGGATTTCCTTGGATGAAATCGAAAAGAGGCCGATCAGCTAGATGAAGTGCTTAAGAGCGAGCTTACCATAGAGAAATGACGGCTGAATGGGGAAGTTCTTTAGAGGATTAGCAAATGACACGCAAAGGGCTTTAGACGATTACCTGTTCACTGCCCACCCTTTAGAGTATGTAATCATATAGATGCATAGTCAACATGTCCATTCATTAAAGTCCTTCTCTAATCCCGCAGAGGCATTGCCCAGTTGCTGCATGTGGGCGACATTATGCATCAGATCTACGCCCATCCTCTGGGCCTGCTGCTCAAGCCAAATGCCTTGAAGCTTGGTGTGGATACCACGCCCCATACGCTGCTCAATTCGGATGAGGTGGTTGTCTTTACCACACGCTATCGACGCACCTTCCAATCGGCGCTGGCCCTGCTCTTTGCTCTGCTGCCTGCGGACAAGTGGCTGGCGCTGAATGTGAGGGAGTCGCACAGCATGGCTTTCTGCTTCAGCGACTGCTCGTGTGGACAGTCGCTGGTGCTGCGCAAGCGTCTGATGCAGCTGGCGGATAGGCAGCTGGTGAAGCGCTCCGATGTCCTGGCCGTGATGCAGTGGATCGGCGGCACCTTGATACAGCATACGGCGAATGAGGGCGGCGTGACGAATCCCTTCGAGGTGGTGGATGCCATGCTGACTGTGCTCTGCCACGATGCCGCCTTGCCATGTCGCAAACGCAATGGCAGCCGGACTGCCAGCACCCGCACCCACAATCCCGAGCTGGTCGATGTCATCAATATCGATCAGGATGAGGCGAATTTGGCAAATCTAATGCCAGGCGCAGCGGCAGCAGCAGAGCTGGAACAACAGCAGCAGCAGCAGCAGCTGGAGGAGGAGGAGGCCGAGGCAGCTGCACCCAATGGCGGCTGCGTGCAAGCCTCCCAAGTAGACGCACTCATGTCCTTTGCCGATGAGCTCTCCCTGCGCACCGCTCAGCACGTCTACTACAAGCGCGCAGGTCTGCTGCGCTCCTATGGCATGATCCGACATATAGTTGGATATATGCTAAAGATGATATCGGGCGATCGCACCAAGTTTGTGCTCTACTCTGGGCACGACTGCACCATGCAGTATCTGACGGCTGCTCTGGGCATCATAAGCAATCGTGATGGAAAGACGATTTCGTATGCCTCCCGCTTGGCCTTCGAGGTGTATCGCTCCGATGCCCACACGGATTACTACTTTCGCGTCGTTTACAACGGACGCGATGTGACGCAGCAAATCGATTTCTGTGAAGGCGGCAAAAGCTTGCGTGTGACTCGGGACAGTCGCGGCAACAAGGCCGATCTGTGCCCCATCGAGAATATTATACGATTTCTGCACGAGGACTATTTTGGACCGTTGAATGCGACCAATTTCAAGGAGGCATGCGCAGCGTCTGTCGTACAGTCGGCCAAGGCAAACGAGTTCTAGTGGCACTGGGTTCCATTCTCAGCTGTGATAAGTATATTATGTTATATATATAATTAAGACGAAATCCAACAAATGGGGAAACGACGTGAACACTAACTAAAGCGGTCACCATACAACAACAGCAACAACAACAAAATCTATTCTACAGTCTCCAATCCCAACACGACTTCGTAGTGGCTCTCACGAGCAACGGGATCTGAGAGTCTTAAGCCTAGTGCGATGGAAGGAGATGGCAACTGTCACTTACACAACTCTTTATTTTTTTTGTCTGCTTTCAATTGCTTCCTCAAATGTATGTGTGTATTTGCAAGACCTAAGTCTAGTGCGCTCAAAGGATATGGCAACTTACTCTCTCTTCTACCATCTCTTTACAAAATTTTGTTTTCGCTGAATGTACATATGCATTTGCGTATGCATTTCCTGCCTATTGATGATATCTAAGCGTTGTTGTATGGCTAGTGACTAAATGAAACCAAACATATCAATTGAATCGCACACATTTTACTCTAAGTTAGATATTTATATAAGTGTATGTCTATATAGCAAAATTTTAGCCTAATTGTAATGCCTAGACTCTTAAGTCCGACACATATCAGCGATTGCTTCCACAGGGGCAATCCTTAACATTTTTCTAGGATAAGTTATATGAGATAGAACAAATCTATGAGACGTACATATGTGTATTACATATGTTTAGTACATATCAGCAACATATCATGTGCAACACTTACCTACAGTTTTCAAGTACATATATACAACCACTTTTCCCCCAGTTAAGTATTTAAATAAATGTTAAACAAAAAGAAAGATGAGTATATTCAGCTGTATTTAACTATACGCATAATAATAATAATAATAATAATAACTGTGCTTTTTACATACATATGCATACTGAAGTACACGCTTATCCAAGCGACTTCAACGACAATCAAACGTCGACTGACTGTAGGCAATGCATTTGCAATTTTGCGGCTCAGTGGAGTGCATTTATGTATGGGTGTGTGTGTGCGCGTGTGTGAGCGCACGATGAGCATCGGCTTTAAAGCAGCGTCGTGAGTGATAAAGCAAACGAGAGCAACGGCACCGCCAAAAGGGGGCGAAGCAAGAACAAAAGTACATAACGTGAAGAAGAAAAAAATGAAGGCAAATTGCGTTGATGTTGACGTCGACAGCGACAGAGTGGAGAGTGGAGCCGTTATTACTTATCTGTGTGCGGTTTGGGTGGAGTGGGGAGCTCGCGCGCAAGTAACGCGGCGAATACAGACACACACACACACACACACATAGAGAGAGACACAGACGCAAACAGAGCGCACACAGTGTGTCGTGCGAGGAGTGGCAGATGCCTGGTTGGAGGGGGCAGAGCAAGCGAGCGCGCAATGAGCGTGTACAGAGACCGAGCGTCGATTGTACAGCGATTGTAATGTAAAATCGACGCTCTGCTCACTGCTGCGAGCCTGTTGACATTCAGTACATTTTGTTACTTTTGTGCACGCAGCTGGCGACGGCGACGCCGACGATGACGAAGCAGCACACAGAGCAGGAGTTGCGTGGCCACGGCCGTAAAAAGGAGCAACGGCCCCATACAACCAACAAACAAACTATAAAAATGCCCACACGCTGGCTGGCGCTGAAACGTGTAATGGACCCAAAGACTGTGCCCGTTTGTGTTTTACGCCACTGTTCGTTCGTTCCGTTCCGAGGACGTTCACGTGCTTGCTGTAAAACTGTAAAGCGCCGTTTACCCTATCCACATACTTAATAACCATCTCCACGTAATCGTTGTCGTAATGCTAATGGCAGCCCTGGGGCAATCGTCGCTCGCATGGTGCATGGTTGTGTTACATTGGGAAAAGGAGCCCAGAACTTGTAGCCACGTTGCACTTTGGCAAAAGCAACAAGTGTGAATGCACGATTTGAGTATAGCTGACTAAGAGATACCCTATAAGTTGATAAAAAATGCATATGCCTAGCTAGTTTGTTCTGTTGAATAATGCCAAAAGCCATATTTCTTCATAAGTAAGAATATAAATATATTTTTACGCATATATAACATAATTATTTACAATAATTTATATTAATCCTATTCTGTTTGTTACATCCGCAAGTTTCATTAGATTGCTAACACGCCATTTATCAACATTTATGGCTACAGGGTACTCGAGCAAATGTTGAAAAACAAAAACCAAAACGGATTTTATATTCGCTTACATGTGTGCGTGTTTGAGAGAGTGAGAGAGATTTGGGCGGGGCAGGTGCAGCTGCCTGGCGGGCAGAGTCGCAGTGCACTCAACAGGCATTTAACACGAACATCTCTTGATGGGGGCTGAGACGTCATTGTGCTCAATTTGCTGCACGCCGTTGTCAATGCCTACGTCTCTTTCGTTGTATGTGTGATGGGGGCAGCGATGCTGTTTGTATGTGTATGTGTTCAAATCCAAAAAGTGCATTGCGTCTCCATTATTATCTCAATATGCAGCTCCCTCTCCTGCTCTTGGCAAGTGCACTGTTCTGTATGTATGCGTGAGTGGTGAGTAAAGGAGAATGCAAGTGCTTGAGTACAGTGGAAGAATTTTATTTGTTGCTAGCGAAATGCAACTCATTAAAGTCTCATGCAATATATTTCTAATTTGCAGTAAAGTATACTTATGGCAATCGGACAAACACATAAACAAATAAATGCCTAAAGCTTCATTTTATTACATTTATAAGCCTTCAATAAATACGCAGCTTTTGAGTCACTGTAATGCTGACAATGTTCAATTGCATTGTATTTTTGCCCACTCTCTTGCTGTTTCGCTCTACCTCTCTCTCTCGTCTGCTCGCACACAAAAACGTAAAAAGCTGCAGTGTACAAACAATAACCCATACACACACAGCCACAGAAACAAACGCGACTGCCAATTGGCTCAGCTGTCGAGTAGGCGAGTGCAGCCAACAAGAACAACAACAGTGGGCCCATGTGCATTGAGCAGGGGAACCGTTGGAGCGGCCACATAGTAAGAAATAAAAAGAAACAAATTGAGTTTTGTTGATGCACGCGCGCGCGTTGGTGTGTGTGAGTGATTGTGCTGAGAGTGTGTGTGTGTATGCATGTATTGCTCTCTTTCGGACTGTGTGCATTTTTGTTACAAATGTCGGTGCCCGCCTTTTGCTCAATGCTGCGGCTCTGTTACAAAATATTGGCGAAGAAAAATCATACAACGTTTTTTTTCAAACTTTTTTCAACCATTTTTCATCGGTACACGTGCGACTGTATGTGAGTGTGAGTGTGAGTGAGTATGTGTAAGTAAGTGTGGGTTGGTAAGCGAACTCTATGTGAGTGTATTTTGCAGGCATTATGGAGTGGGGGCTCCTAGGCCAACGGCTATTACCTATTTGGGGGAAAGCGTGGACAGGATTTTTCTTTGAGCAATAGACGAACGAACACCCGTTCGGTCGTTGGTCTATGCTGTCTGCGCTCTCTGTACTCACCTAGCTGAGCCGCTGGCCCCTTCTAATAGTCAAACCAAAAGTTTTTCCAAGCAGTCAAACTAGGCTCCATAGGCTCGGCAGCCCCACCTCCCTCGGAGCGGAGATGCACTTTTCAAATGTGCGCTGCGAGGGGTGGGCGCACACAATTTTCCACGCAAACATCTTGGCGGAGGAGCTACACACACACACACTCTTTATATATACATATAGAGAGCTTGAGATAGTCAAAGAGAGAAAGAAAGAGAGCGACAGAGGGAGAGGCAGCTGGCAGAAGCGGCGATAGCTGCTGCTACGCGCACATAGAAGAAATTGCAACGAAGCGACGTCGTAATTGCACCTCGGCGCAAGCAAATGGCGTGAGCGAAGAGCGACAGAGAGAGAGACGGAGCGGGTAAAGGGGCCATAGGCGGTGCCCATAAGTTGGCATTTTTAGTAAGTACCTAAGAGCAAGTACTTGTTGCTTACAACTACACTTGCTGTATATGTAATTACGTATCATAGTCGAAGCCCAGCGAGTGCCCCTAGCAACAGCAGCAACGCCAACAGAAGGCGAAACATCCGGCAACGCTGCGCGCCCAAGATAACAAACTATAACACTGGAGTACAACAGAGAAAAAACTCTTTATGCAAAGGAAATTTATTACGTAAGTTAATTACAATATTAAAGTGGACATTCTTAACAAATATTAATAAACACGAATATACAGATGTATATTTATCAGAGAATGTCTATGTATAACAAGGTTCGGTCCGTCATCTCAATCATAATCTACGGCATAATTGCAATCAAAATAGTAAGCATTATCAACAAACATCATCAATCATCATTATCATCATCATCATAGATTCGTAGTGCCGTACTACCGAGCTGCAGGAAGTCGGACTCAAGTCTACACAATTTCACTCAAAATGGCGAATAGGTCCTGAGCTCTATTTAGATTAGATTTAGATTTTGCTCAAAGGTCGGAGTTGAGTGGAAATTAAATATGAGGTTGATATTACCAATGGCTTGGCCAGATCAGTTGAGTTCTTTGCCACCGAACGGGAATACAAGTATTTGGCACTTCCCTTTGCCCTAGGGAAAATATAGAAGTTAATAAGAGATGTGAGATGTGATAATGAGATGAATCAAACCATATAGGAAGGTGGCTTAAAAAGTTAACATATAGAATAATAAAAATATATTAAGAACTAATTTGATTCCTCTAAATAAATATATTTTTATTTAACTATGCTACCCTCGTTAAATGTGTCAGAATTTTGTAATAAAATATTTAATACTTTTGCCGAGATTCATTTACGTCAAAAATTAATATAAATTGTATTCAAATTGTAAGTCATTTGTACTTGGACATATATATATATATGTGACATATGGACAATTCCGATAGAATTCGACTGAAGGTGAATCCCATCAATTACAAGTTTCGGAGATGTTGTAGATATTTACGACATCCTCTAAGCCCACTCATAATACGGATATTATTTTATTTTTCCGATAAGACCAGTCGATGCTGATATCGATAACCCATTTGGGAACAGCCGTAGGTGGAATGCAGGTGGGGTGACGGAAGGCTCTGTAGCAGCTTCCCAGCTATGATAAACTAACGGAAGTGGCTACCTTAGAGCTAGCTCAATTTTCTAGCCCGATTGTTGTTGATTTTGTGAAATCGGGATGATTGAATCAATCGTTCGACGATGGTTGAGCTTGATCTTTATCCTTTTGAGATTGTTGAAGTGGTTAGCTTATAGTAACTAGATACCATTTTGGGTTAAACGACGCACTAATGGCCATAGTTATATGTATAAACTAATTTTTACTTCAGAATCAGACATTCCTTCGGTTTTTATAATTTTATTTACATGGTATTTTTTGTATTTTATCATTTGAAAATATTAAATTTTAATTATATAGCAACTTAAATAAATAATCAAAAATAATAGGACTTTCATTATAAATATATATGTGCTCACATATCAGCCAAATGCGCCCATTGCACAAAAAGTGCGCTCAGTAGTACAAAACGCACACACCGACGCACGCTCATATCATTGCGCTGGCATAGAGTGCAATGCACTGAACTCCGAGTACATTGGCCCCAAAAAGCACTCACACAAACTCAAGCACACAGCAAAACAAACACATTAAAACGGTCACACTGCCGCGCTCACAAGTAAACGGATAACAGATAACAGACACAGGCATGCAGGCCGCGCACACACACTCGTGCAGACAGTCGTACTCGCACACAGCGACAGCCATACGCTAAGCAAGTCAAACGACCTTCCACATAGCCATCTCGCTCACACAGATGCCGCGGCCATTGACGTTACGTCTCCGGCAGCTGTTTGACAATGCTGTGCGCCTATTGAATTAACATCGCATGACGCAAAGTTCGCGGAACGTACATTTTTCACAGTTTTAACACGAATGTCGAATGGCGGCAACTGAGCAGCGGCAGCGACTGCAACGCATTTACCGGTTCAAATTGTGGCGTGTTAACATAGAAAATCGTTAGAAACGAACGCAGCAGCTACCAAGTTTTCATAGAAATAGCAAAAGACTGGCCGCAAACAGCCAGGTGATATGATGAGAAGGCCTAGGCTAGAAGTTGCAGTTGGAGTTGGAGTTGGAGCTGCTGGAGCTGGAACTGCAGTCAATGCTGTAGCAGCAGCTGAAGCTGGAGTTGGCATTCACAGTGTAAGCGGCGGAGTGTGTGAGGCAGAGAGAGACAAACACAAACACAGTCAAACACACACGCACACACACATGCACTTTAACATTTGCGAGGGATCTCGCTGTAAAATTAACATAACAAAAGGCGCAAACTTTCGAATTTGTATATATTTTGAAAATGTTTATGGCGAAAGCGTGTTTAGTGTATGTGCAATGGCTGCTTTTTCTTGCGCGATTTCTTGAAGCCTGTTCGTTTATATTTTAAACATACAAACGAAATAATCGCATAATAACACAGACTTTGTCACGCCATGTGTGAGTACATGCGTGTGTGTGTATATAAATAAAATAATAATTTATATATATGTATATCTATACATATAACATTGCTTGCCCATTTTAAATTGGTTTCAGTTACGTTTATTATTTTTTTTGGGGGAGTTTAAACATTTTTTTGGGGCACGCCTTCTAAAATTATAATTTATTATTATTATATTTCGTTTGCTTAATTACACCAGGAAAACAGAAGTTGCGCTGGGCACAGTGACACACACACACACACACGCACACAGCTAGACAAAAACAGGGTGGCAGCTCCATGGTAACCACTCTGTCGCTCCCACACCCCACCCCTTTGGCGAATTCCATTTCGCTGTGATTGAGCAAAAAATCGAAAAAGATGGCTACTAACAGCGCGGGCTAACAGAAAACATAGACAGAAGCGTTTTTTTATTGTAGTTGTTGTCGATGTTGTTGTTTTTGTTGCTGTGTGGGGAACACGCGCAATTGGGGAACATTTATTTGCAAAGAGGGGGCCCATGGCCCATGGCCCATAGCCTGTCATTTGATTCTCCGCTAAAGGGGCGCCAAAGACCTTCTCAAGGCTGGCGATAGCAGCATTTAGGGGGACTGGTGGAGCTGCTCTACACATTGGAGCGTGCACACACGTCGACATGGGGAAGTCTTGACTACCGCAGCAGGCGCGCAGCAAATCGAAAAAGCTTAACTCAGTTCAAACAAGCACAACAAGTGCGACGCGACGGTGCGAGCAGCTCGAGTTGCCCCTCCCAACTGTGCGCCGCTGCCATCTGGGCTGCCACTTGCCGTGTTGTGTCGTGGTTGCGGCTGCTGCTGCATGGGACAGTGGCGCAGGTGTAAAGATATCAGGGTTATCACTAACCGATAGTCAATATAGTATATCTATATCCGATAAGAATCGATATACTACTACCAATGCGGACTCTAATGCTAATACATATTATACTAATACTAAGGCAAATATAAATATATATACTAGCAGTAGTACGAATAGTGTTACCAACCTTAACACTAATAATAATACTTATGCTGTACTGCTGACGTTAATTGTTGGATGATGCCAGAGATATACTGTACGAGTACTAATATTCTTTACTGATATACTTTACTCATACTAATACTAATGCTGACAGCAATGATACACTCTACTAATACTAAAACTTATACTAATACTACTAATGACAATAATACTTTTACTAACACTAATACTGATACTAATATTTATACCAATACTAATACTAAGGATAATACTAATGCTAAAATACATATGATATGTGCATGTTCACACAGTGAATAAAATCATTAGTTGCACTTTCAGCTCCAGTTCAAGTTCCAGTTCAAGTTCCAGTTCCAGTTCTAGTTTCAGTTAAATTAAAAACGCTTTTTGATATAGTCAAAAGTTTCAGAATAAATTTGATTAAATAAATGTTTGTTATTTTTGATTTTTAACAGAATCAAAGCATATTAAAGCTTAACAAAATCCAATTTGATTAAGGAATTTGAGTTAAAAGCTTTGTCAACATCCTTTTTCCCGCACGCCTCTGCAGCTTGTGCAATTTGCATTCGCATTTGCATTTGCCGAATTCTTATCCCCCTAATGACTATCGGCAGCCCATCTGCCAAGCAGGTGTGCCAATCCCCTCTGTCCCCTCTCACTCTCACTCTCACTCTCTCCCCCGCTGTCTATCTCCCTCTATCTTTCTCTCTCAGCATGGGGCAGCGTCGCCGTTTGAAAAGTTTAGCTACATTGCAGCAGGGGTAAGAGAAACGGAATCAAAACATTGGTGGGGCCAAAGGACACTTTCATTTCGTGCCAAACGAGAGAGTAAACAATTTTTAGTGAAATTTTCGAATAGGCGAACAGCAAATTTGTAGGGCGTATGCTGCCCCGTTTGTTGGCAGCGACGTCGACGTTGATGATGATTCTATATAAGCTCCGTGTTCGCCCCATATATATATTTATATATGTATATATATACATATACATACATATATATGTGTACTGTTCTAAATGATGACGGGAGCAGCAGGCAGCGCAGGCAGGCAGGCAGCAGGCACAACCACAGCCACTTAGATGATAAAAAAGCACACAACAAAACAGAACAGAACACGACACACATAACAACAACAACAACAACACAGACAGGGGGCAATTGAGGCAAATCACACGCATACACTCACACACACGCGCGCACACAAGCACCAAGGTGATTCTTTTGATTGGGGTTGGGTCAGCTCATTTGTCTCGCTCTCGCACATGCGACATTGACTTTGAAACGCATTTGACAGCAACTACAACAACAACTGTCAGCAAGCAAATCGTGATCACAGCACAAAAACAACAACAACTACTACTAAAACTAACACACACACACAACAAACTTGAAGGGGAAGCAAACGGGCGGTTAAGCTCGTTGCCAGCGCAAACATTTGAGTGAGTTCTGGCTCTCACTCTCGGGCTGGCTCTTCCTCTCGCGCTCGCTCTCTCAATTCCAAGGGCAACTAATTAGCATTTTCGGTTAGTCAAAAAAAGTGAAACACACACAAAGCAAACGAATAACACCAGAACTTAAGCGTGCTCTCTCCCTTACACACACACACACGTATTGGCTACAACAACATCTAATTCACCTCAGCAGCGCATGACCGCTGCAAATGTTAAAGAGTTAATGAACTTCCACACGGTCTCTCCGATTCGCCATTTGTATACATACATATGTGTGTGTGTGCGTGTGTCGGTATGTGTAAGCTTATTTCAATGCCAAGGTAATCGCACACAAGCACACGCCATACACACACACGACATACATTCACACACTTGCAGCGCACTCACATTCACAGTGGTCGTCGTTTATTTCGCTCAGCAACGTGCTGCTCATTTCTGCGTCACTGTTACCGTTAAAACTTAAACTTAAAACAGTTCAAACATTTTTTACAACATCCCCCATTCGAAAGCCAAATCGACGACAACCACAGGCACCGAACTTGTGGCTTCTGTTGTTGCGAGAACTCAGGTGGATTTGGACAAGTAGTATTCACTGTACTAACACAATTCCACTTCACTATTCATTTTAGAGTTGTACAACACTGGCGTCAGAGGCAGTTGGCCTGGAGTTGCAGTTGGCCAGTGAGCCACATCGAAATCAATTTGTTGCTGTACAAATGAGTTTAACTGAAAACCAACAGCGAATGTGGAATGATATATTTTGCCCACTGTACTTTGTTGTATTTAATTGCAGTTCGTATAAAACATATGTAAATAATATGACTATTGTCGCTTGTCTATTGTGAATATTGTGAATATGATAAAAAGTCGTGCTGCTAAGTTTACTATATTTTAAATAAATGCGAATATATATATTCATTCAATATTCATTTGCCTTAATTTCTCATTCATGCGCAAACCTCAAATTTAAATAAAAACCGAATTATTTTGAATAGCCCGACAAGGGGTCAAAAGTTTTTGTATAACCACTCAGTGGGTAAACGGTACTCGACAGAGCGTGGCTACAAACGAGTGCGAGGCGAGTACGTACTCGTACACGAGCGAGCGAGTGAGTGAGTGAATAGTGTGAATGCGTTATATTCGTAGCGGTTTTGTGAATTTTTCAACAGGCGCACAGCAGCGGCTGCTAGATGTAAAATACGCCATTGATTCACATCAAGCGTTTGCGCTGAGCAACTGTGAATGCCAAAATAGCGCGGGCCGCTGCCCAGTGCGAGTGAGACAACCGTATGGAATGTGCGCACACATGTTTGTTGTGTGCAGCTCTTGTTGGGCGGCGCTGTAAATGTTTGCCGTCATTGCTGAGCGCCTGTTAACTGTTTTAGTTAAAGAGCAATCCATTTTGTTTTGTGAAAAGGAAAAGGAGTAGATAGATAGACGAGGCAGGCCATCGCAGTCAGACTGCCAGCGAGTGAGCGCAACAGAAAATACGAATCTGTTTTTTTTTGCGATGAAGCTAATTGGAATTTTTAATAATGCTAATTGGAGTTCTTATGCGGATACTCGAACAAGAATATAATTGCATTGTTTAAGCATTGAATAATTGGTTTTAAATTATAAATATAGTTTGTTTATTTTTTAGCATTAGCAATGTCTTAAGCTTTAAGCGCATCGAAATTTAGACTCTGCCAAAGTTTCAAAAGCTAAATTTATATTTTGCCGAAGTGCTGTTTCTAAAGCTTTACTATTTAATGCAAATCGTATTTAATTTATATAATTGGATATGGATATATATGTATATATATAGACATACTTATGTATACATTTCTTTATATTTTAATAAATTTTTTTTTTTTGCTCGTTTCGAATTGAATCGCTTTTTAAGCTCGTTTGTCAGAACTTTTATATCTGTCTAATCTACCCCACCCGCCCATCTGCCATGTAACTGCAAATAAGCTCTTGTTTTGAGTCGGGCATTGCTCGTGCATCGCTTTCCATATAAAATAGTTCTGCTTCTTTTTGGCTTTCTGATAAATAAAAGTTTCGATTCGCTAAGCACTGAGCAAAGCATAAACAGTGCTTTTTATACAGCACAGAGGTGTGTTTTTGAGGGTGTGTGTGTATGTGTGTAGGTGTGTATTGATGTGCTTTTTATTTAATGAAGCGCCAACTTCCATATCTTAAATACATATGACAACATTTTACAAAATTTGTATTTATATTTTGAAATAAAACAAATAAATGTTGGTACTTTTGAATTAAATATTTTGTTTTCAAAGGCTTAGTTAAATATAAAAATAATTAAACCAAACGCCTTTTAAATATTTTTATAATTTATAATTTTTTAAATTAAAAAATCATTATACAGCTGCAAAGATCGTTCTCAGTTTATAATTAAGTAATTATTTATAAGGAACTTTTTCATTACTAAGCCAATTGCATTTGGTTGAAGTTCCGCTCAGAAAACTTTTACTTGCAAATGTGTAAGCATATATATATATATATGTGTGCGTGTGTGCATATACATGTAACTCGAGCAGCTTACGAAACAAGTTTAAGTTTAGAACTTAAAATAAGCTTGAACTTTTTGGAACACCAGAGGTAGAGCGTGAGCGAGAGAGAGATACGGGCGGGTGGAATGAAGGCACTGAGTGGGCAGGCTGTAGAGCGTGCATATTCTTTGTGAGCGTGTGTGTGTGTGTGTGTGCTTAAAGAAGAATCGCACACAGTACATGGGCGGCAGCAATAATAAAAGCACTCGGAGGTGAACTTGGCAGATTTAACTTTTTTCAAGTTTCGGAAAACCAAAGTTGCAGTCGACGGCTCAGTCGGCGTCAGCCGTCAGCGTCGTCATCGCTTTTCGCAACTTTGGCAAGTTAATTTTGTTTGGAAGCTACAGATTTTGAAAGTTCTTGTACTGGGAGCTAAAAATCGGCAAAGGCTTTAGCAGGGCGATATCTTTTCTGTGTGTATATTATTTAGAAAACAGCTGATGGGTGGACTGAGGAAGTGGGTCGTGGCGGGGCGGGGCGAGACGTTGCGATCCGCCATTCGAGCCAGCAGCGTAAGCGTTTATTTCGGCGGGAGCTTAAACAGCTTTTTGTTTCATTATTCCTCCTTATATTTTGTTGCACAAAAGCCGTTCCATTTCGAATCTTTTGTAAGAAATATTTATTTCATTCCCAATTCGAATTTGCTGCCCATTTTTTGTCCGTTAGCTTGCAATGCTCGTTGAATTCGGCTGCCCACTTCGTTGGGTCTACAAAATTGAGTGTGCACACACGACGACGCAAAAAATTGCACAACTCATTCGGTGTAGAATTATTGTAATCCCCACCAGGCGGCCAGAAACGATGAAAAGCTGCCAAGCAACAGAAATGCTTCGGAGTGCTTTTAACACTTGCGGCTGTGTGCGTGCAAGTGAGACAACAGCGGTGCTTAGCTTTTGCTGTAGAGCATGCTTGCGCGCTCGCACACACACATTAAATAATCGCTGTGCAGAAAACGTTGTTTGCTGTCAGCTATCGCTGTGCGCCTGTTGAAAAATTCACAAAAAGCCAAAATAGCGCGAACGGAACCGTACAAATCGAAAAATGGACGTTCACAACGTCCCTCGGTCGTTCCGCATGCCGCTTAATTTGAATTGCAGCAATTGCGAGTCAATTGTGGCTGTGTGTGACTGTCTCTTTCTCTCTTGCTCTATCTCTCTCTATAATTGGATATTTATTTTTGATTTGGAAAACGGATGTGGTTGGCAACACTGGCACGTTGGCCATTGCAATTCCCTTTTTCTCATATGCACCAACAGCTGTGCAATTATTTTCTATTTTTAACAGTTACATTTGCAACATCGAGAATTGGTGTAGTGGTCGGAGGTTTGATTCTACAAGTGAGTTATTTTATTTTCATAAAAATCTTCATTTAGATTTAAAATATTTAATTATATTTTGACAAATTAATGAGTTGTTTTAATAAGTTTTTTTCTGCTTTGACTTATCTTGATTATATTTCTTATTGCAATTTCAGCAAATTACATAATACTCATAAGAAATAATGGCGTTACCCGAAGGTTTGGCTGGCAAAATGAAAACTTTCCAGGTAGGTTATACATATATATTTTATATATCTTCCTTTAGTTAATAACTTTTCTTGTAGGCTGTCAATGATCTGCCTGTATTCCTCAAGGGTGGACCAGTCGATAAGGCTCTATTTGGCATTACGGCAGCACTGTGCGGTGTGGGCTTAATAAGTATTGCACATATGATCTACACAATGGGTTTCACCAAGAAGAAGGCATAATCGTGAACGGCTTTACATTATATGTATATAAACAAGCAGTTCATGCAATAAAATTATAAAAATTAACTACATTTTGTTAAATTTCGCGCCAAAAGTAGCTTATCTTTGTCGTAAATACCCTGTACAGTCAGAGTTGCTTTTGGGTTAATCGAGATATATGGCCACTCCAATATGTGAACAGCTGATTGTGTGTGCACGCGTCTTTGTGAATGGTTAAACGCACACAAAGACAAAAATATTTTTATTTTTGCTTTGGAAAACAGTATAAAAATATAAATAAATACGAAATGGAGCCCAATGATGAAGTTGTGGAGCGACAGAAGCTTGTGCCCAACGATGTGGAAACCGAGGAAGAAGCGAAATCAGCTCAAACACCTGCCACGCCCGTCGCCGTAGCTAAGATCAATGTATATGACACACGCCCAATTTACAATTAACAAAATTTACGATTTCTTCACTGTTTATGTAGATCAAAGGTATTTCGAGCGGTGATACAACACGTAGCCGAAATTCAGCCTCGTGTTCGATCGAACGTACTATATCAGAGAAGGGCCAAGGACAACAGCAGGGACAGCCCTCTGCTAAGACTACGCTGCAATATGTAAATGAGCGTCGGCCACGCCCTCACGTGCCCAATAGCGGTGCGGCTAATGAAGAGCGATTCGAGTTTAAGACGCGTCCGCGCAAGCTGTTGAAGGGTAAGGTGATAAGTGTATATATATACGCTTCAGTTCGTCCCATACGCTTCCAGTCGCTGTGGAGGTTCTCAAGGAATTGAACCGTTTATTCTGCTGCAGCGGTGGCGGCGGCAACAGCAACAACCTTGTGACGCACTTTTAGAGCCATATGTTGTGCATATTACACTTTCACACACGGTTGCCCTGAGACACCCACTCAAACACAGAGAGGCACATTTCGACAAGCTGTCACAATTTCAATAATTGAAATTACAAGCCATTTGCCAGTGGCTCCCTCTTTTCGCTTTGAGGGGGAGGGTCAGACATCACCGTCTGTGGGATTTGTCGTCTGGCATTTGGGCTTTTGTGTTTGGAGCAAGCAGTTGCCATTTTATTGTTGAGACTGCGTCTTTTAGTCACTTGTTTAAGTTTTTACTTTTGTGTTTTTGAAGTTGTGTAAATTTAGAAAGAAGCTAAAGAAAGTCGTATAAGTTAGTGTGAAATTAGAATAAAACTTTTCCTTTAATGGTAAGGTACGCTTGGAGTAAAAGTTAGTTTCAAGAGTAGTTAAACTACTTGCTTATCATTTGCATTCAGAGAGAGATAAGTTAGAGAATATATAGAATAAGCTAAATTTGTGATATGTATACAGCAGTTGTTAATTATACATATATATTGAATGTGTACTTCAGATATACATACTTTATACTATAGTTGTAGACTTTACATACTATAGATATACACTCTTTGTTTGACCTGCTTAGAGTCTGCTTATATTTACATCAGATGGCTTGCTCTTAAGCAACTTTACACATAGCTATCAATTCCAAGTAAAATATGGATTTAGATTAATAGATTAATATATATAAGCAAAAGTATTATATAGTGTATGCTTACATAGTTATGCAGACTTAAGTTGATAATTTTTTATTTTAATTGTAATTGTGTACTTTATATTTTTATACTTTTTTAACTGCCTGAATTCCTTTGCTTATCATTTTGTATAATCTTTATTTTTCATTTAATTTGTTTTTCGTATTTTCATGATTTTGATTTTGTTTGTGGCAAATGCGTAATGCAGATGAAAATCCGTTAGAGCCAACGCATAGTAGCCAGCATAGCTTGAATAGCATTACGCTGGTCAGCAGCGAGTGGCTAACGCCAGATGCACCTGTCGCGACCAACAGCAGCAACAACAACAACAACAATGATAGCTCAAAAGTAAACAATAACACGACGAAGCCGCTGCCGCCGCCTTTGCAGCAGTTGCACATTCCAATGGCCAATCCGAGCATACACAGCGACAAGTTTGACGAACGTCCAATAAAACATCATTCCTTTGTCTCCGAAGTGCCCGATGTGAAGCACATGGAACGAGCGCTACTTGGCCTGCTGGATGACTTTCATTCGGGCAAGCTAAAGGCATTTGGTAACTATTTGATGTACCCATATACATACATATATGATAATAGTCTCCATATCTGTTAGGCTCCGGTTGCACCATGGATCAAATGACCAAAATACGCGAGCAGCAGGAGAGCTTGGCCAAATTGCATTTCGAGTTGGCTGCCGCTGAGGAGGACTCGCTGGAGCATGGCAAGGAGTTCAATACGAGTCGAGCGCAAGAGAATATGCTGCAGCTGATGCAGCGCCTGGAGCAGCTGTCCATTTCCATTGAGCAGCTGCAGACCAGCCACACGGGTCTCTGAGAGTTGGCTAAGGTGCCGTCCGGCACGCACTTTGATCATCTGCTGTTGCTGCTCTGAGCCGCAGCGCCAACCCACCCACACTGGTGTACATAAGTTCTCTTCTATGTTTAACTGACAGTTTTTATAAGATTTGTATAAGCTTCCAATTTTTGTATAAGAGTTAGGCAGTGATTGTGTACGAGCAGTTAGCGTTACAGTTAACTGCTAGAGCACATATTTAGAAGCACATTACTTATGCATATACACACGTGTATATGTATGTGTGCGCGCATATATTTTACTTGTAGCATAGTGTAGTCGATTAGCTTTAACTTTGACAGTGCCAACTGCAAGCACTTGAGCCGCTTTTCCCCCTCCCTTGACAAGCTTCGATTTTACTGAAATCTATTTGAATTCATTGTTTTTTCTTTTTGTTATAGTTATTAGCAATATATAATTAGAATATATCAAAAGTCTTTTATATAAATTAATTAAAACCAAATTTGTAAAATGTTCTTTCAGACCTTAACAAATCTGAAGTGTATTTCTATAAACTAATTGATTTTGAGTTATAGTTATATGCAATATATAAACACTTTTATATAAATGAAACGTGAATACATTTGTTTTCTTTATATTTATATATTCACATTCTTTTAGTTTTAAAAAACTACATTTTAGCTCAACTTTACACTTGTTGCGCCATTTGAAAAAAGTCTTAAGATTTTTCAAAAATATTTTTAAATCATTTGCATTAAAGCTTTTATGTGATTGGAATGCAACCACTACGAAGGTAGCTTAAGCAATTCGTGATTTTATAAAAATTGCATTTATTTATTTAAATTATTTTAAATAACTAAATTTTGAATTGTCTATTCTCCAATCTACTAAAGATTTCAAATTCCTAACTGCATGTCAAATCTGTGCCAATGGGGCTAGCTAAATATATATTGTATCTGAGATAAAGGTAGATAATGTTAGTTGAGGCTGAATATTGAGTTAAGGGATATTTAGACATAGATAACGACCCTAATGTACAATAAGAAAGTCTAAATATCTGCGCTCCCTAAGATATCTTTAGATATGCTAAGACTGTCAACGCCTGCTACCAGGGTTTTCCGCTTAACGACCCATAAGAAAAAGGTTCATAAACAATAAGTTCATCCGGCTTGGCGGCCTTTCAAAAAATTCCAATATTCTTATATATATACAAAAATAATGCCCATTTGCCGCCAAGAAGAATTTCATTTAGCATTCACAATTTGTTTGGCTTGGGATATTGTATATCGACTACATACATACACACACATATATATATATATATACATATATATATATCGGGCATGGCATCGGGACAACCTTTGGGCAAGTGCATTTTGTCTACATAGGAAATTTGTTTGTTTCGTCGCTTAATTTGTGCATTTGCATTCAGCTGGCGTCCACTTCACTTGGAGTTGTCATCATCCTCGACGTCGTTGTCTTCTTCTTCTTGTTCTTATTGCTCCTCTTCTGCTTCTTCTCTTTTCTGGTTGTTGTTGTTGCAGATTTTGTGATCGGTAAAAGTAATTTGTGACTCGTTGTTCTTTCTTTTTCATGTTCTGTTTAAATCCGGGTTTCAAATAACAAGAAGCGTGCACTGAGAGAAAATTGTTGGTGTCTGTGGCTGAGCGAGGGAAAGTGGGTGTCATGTGACGACTACCTAAAACTGAGGCGTTGACATGATTCGTCTATTACACTCTCTGTCTCTAATATAATAATATTAATATACCAGAACGTAAATTAAGCTTAATAAATAATAATCGATAGCTTATTATTATCGATATTAAGGAAATGAGATATATTATATTGAAAATGTCAATTCTCTAGTTTTTGTGGACAAGGCTAGATCGACTCAGCCACTTACAGACATTTTCATATAACCAATATACTCAGAGTTCCCATTTCCAATAGGTTTAGAATATATTCCTAAACTACCTTAGATATATATGTATAAAGAGAATAATGCTTCGCGTCGCAATCATCTAAGTATTTGCTTGTTTTCGTGCAGTGCATGTGGACACTTGTTGTTATTGTTGCCACTGCCACGTTTCCTTTGCTTTCCCTTCGCCGGCTGCGGTCAGAAAACTCTGCTTCAGACTTGAGTTCGGTTTCAATTGTGAGTTTCAACACTCGGCTTTGGGTTTTGGGTTCTCAGTGCTGGGCTTGGGGGATCACGGCTCGGGTTTATGCTTAGCTAGCGGTTTAGTGCATTCCAGGCTTGTGTCGAACATCATTTGCGTCAAATGAAGAAATAAACGCTTTGCCCGGCACATCCGCCATGCTGCATACAAATGCAGTCGTTCACTCAGCAGGCACACCTATACACGCACACACATGCATTCTCTTATTCACTCACACACACGTGCACATGCACACCCACTCCAGTGGCACTTCCATTGTCCGGCGTTCCATCACGCGCCTGGATTACACTGTTGGAAAGGGTCGCCGTGATCGGGAATGGGAATTTCCGAAGCCAAGCCCTAGAATCCAACAAGTGACTGGGTGCAACAGTTCTGCTTCGAGCTGGAGTTGGAGTCGGAGTAAGAGTTGAAGTTTTCGTTGGGGGGTTAGGGGAGGCGTGGCTGTCGTCAGTTCATCGAATCGAGTGTTATGTAAAATGTGAAAAGAAGTCATTAAATATGTGAAGCGCATATCAAATTTCATACGAATTGAACCTTTTGGGCTTTGGTCACATGAGAATTTGATGAACTGCCAAGGCGGACAATGTTGTTGTTGTTGTTGTTGTCGCTGTTGCTGTTGATACCTGTCTGCCAACTGGGCGCGGATCACTTGTTGCCTTAACCACTGCCCACTGACCATTTGGCCATTTGATATGCCCGCCACTTGATGTTTATGAACTTTGCGTTCAGGTCAATCGCAGCAGTTGCTTTTGTTTTCCTTCTGCTTGTTTTTATTTTACTTTTTTGCATTCTCTTTTTGGCGTCGCTCCCTTAGCTCGTAATCCTTTTTTGCCCACCCACGTGCAGGCACAAAGAGCGGAAATTACGTTGCTGATGACAGAGCAAAAGCGGAAGAGCACGCAGCTCTCTTGCCGGCGGGGGGCACTCAGGACACGGCGCCCACGTAAAACTAGGGTCGGGCGCAACTCGCTTAAAAGCACTGCGCCAACAAGTTCACATTTAGTTCCCTTGAGCCAATCGCTAAACTGAACAATCGATATATGTTCACTGGATCATTCATTTTAAGCGTGAGCCCTTCAGTTTGGGACCATTACTTTTCATTTCTGGGAATTCAACCGATAGTAATAGAAAATTTCCCTTTTTCATATTGCGCATCACTAATTAAATGTCCTGAATATATTTAGCATTCTAGTGAAATTGTTGAATGAGCAAGCAGGAACCAAAGTCTGAACTACACGTCTGAGCTGATTTATAACTTATTATTCATTTGATTCATTTTATAATTTGGCTCGTTGGATAATTTTAAGTTCAATTTCGCGCTTATCGGGAAAAAACGAAAACTGACGAACAAAATGGTTCGATATAATATGTTAAGTTGAATAAATTTCAATGTTTTACGCTAGCAACTTGCAATAGTATTACAATTGAAATTGAATAAAGTTGAACCAGTTCATTGGGCTGAACTACTACGGCGCATCTCTAATGCACCTCGCCCATTCTCTCCATAGTGAAACGTAACAGGAAGTGCGACAAAATTCAAAACGTACTCTGCAGCCGGGCATCCTGCTGCTGCTGCCGTTGCTGCGGAAGCACGGAAAAGCCAAAGGGGACGTGGCACTGTAAAGAGGGCGTAAGGTAGTTGTAGCTGACTGACGGTCGGGTTTTGACTGGGCTGGCATAAATGTGAGCACGGCAAAAGTTGTGACTGCTGCTCTGTGCTCCAAAGGAGGAAGTGTTTGGGCAGTGGGCGGATGGGTGGTGGCAGGGTTAAGTCCTGTGCCAGGCTATATGCCCCATAGAGAGCGCACACGCAGCGTGAGAGGAGGGCGACGTACTTTATTTCCTGTAAATGTCCTCGAAAATATGAACATTATATCCCGGAAACGGAAGCTGCAGCATTTGCAAGGAAGCAGGCAGGCGGACAGGCAGGGCTCGCAGGACTCTCTTGTGACTGAGCTGCCTGGCAAACATTCAGTTGGACGAGCCCCGCCCAGGCCAGCCCAGCCGTGTGGGCTGATTAAAGTGGTTAAACAACTGACTTCGACGTTGAAATGTACACAACAGAGAAATGGTGGCAGGACTCTAGCTGGCAGGACTCTGACGATGACGTCTTTACATCCTGCAGGAAGCGAGCTGGGCTCTTAGCTGCCGGCAAAGGCATTCAGGGACATACAACAACCACGACAACAACAACAGCAGCAAAATATAAAAACCTTTGCATTGAGGAAATGACGGAAGCTGCTTCAGCTTCAGCTTCAGCTTGAGCTCCGGCTCCGGCTCCGGCTCCGGTTGCTTTGGCAGGAAATCAACGTCGTGGACGTAAATTAAATTCCATGCAAAGTTAATTTTGTGCCACTCCCACTCAACCTCTTCCTCCACATCCATGCCGTAGACTATTTCCGCATCTTGCGAGCGAAACCCATTTGATATGAGCTAAAGTTTTCGATATGAGCTGCAGGTCGATGGAATGCGACTAAGTTATCCGGCAGAGAAAAAATAGAGGGGGAGCGGGAGAGGGAGGAGTTCATATGGCTTAGCTTAGCATTTAAATTCTGTTTGAGAATATTTTGAGGTGTTTGGTTATTCGCGCTATATAAAAGGAAGCGATTATGATAGTTCTTAGATGCTATGCATAGAGATAGAGAGAGAGAGAGAGAGAGAGAGATAATCTGAAGGAGCTTGAGATGAGGAATGAGAATGAAGTATGAATGGAGCTACATTGCCTAGAGTCTTACGCTCCAAATGGAAACAATCAAAATTTCTCAGATAGAAATCAAGAGAAGTTTGGAAATAGTTGATAGAGTTCCAACTCTCTTTGCTTATCTCTAGATGACTCTTCAGATCATAGGATCCATGTAACATGTCTATAATGCCTCACAAGCAGAATTCCTATTGGGAATGCTAAATGCATTGCTCATAAGTGATGATAGTGCTATCCGTCTGTTCTTATCTAGCTGGAAGGCAGCTCTTGAAAGCCTATTAATACTGACAGGTTGTAATTATAGCTAGTTAATCCCACACTCTTCTGGCTCGGGTTAAATATAGACGCTCCTCGGTGTGGCAAATCCAAGAGCGAGCCGTTCAACTGGTTGGATGGATATGCGGCTATGTAATTTGCGGCAATCATTTGGCCAACTTCAATCACATAGGAATAGGCAGTCGGCCAATGTACCGCTAGATGCTGGACCATAAACAGTGCTAGCCTAAAAGC